CCTAACCTAACCTAACCTAACCTAACCTAACCTAACCTAACCTAACCTAACCCTAACCTAACCTTAACCTAACCTAACCTAACCTAACCTAACCTAACCTAACCTAACCTAACCTAACCTAACCTTAGGTTATGGCAGGGCTAAAGAGGCCATTAAGAGGTGAAGAAGCCACCATGCCAATACACGGCTGACATGACAAGCCTCTCCAGCCGCAGCGAGGCTCGTCATGTCAGGCGCGTATCAGGACTCAGCCCTGTCAATACGCGGCTGACATGACGAGCCTCTCCAGCCGCAGCGAGGCTCGTCATGTCAGCCACGTATCAGGACTCAGCCCTGCAATACACGGCTGACATGACGAGCCTCTCCAGCCGCGGACAGGCTCGTCATGTCAGCCGTGTATTGGCATGGGTGGCTTCTTCACCTCTTAATGGCCTCTTTAGCCCTGCCATACCCCTGTCCTACCCTGAACCTTCTAGCTTTTCAGGTTAGAATCCAAATGATGAAATTAAGGCATAATTTGAAAGGTAGTGTATGTGGGAGCATTTTATTAGTTCTGCAATAGAAATTAAAGGGCAATTATGGACTGGAGACTTGGTTTTTTGAGGTTTTCCTTCAATTCTGTATTTTGCCTGTAACATCTTCAGTACTCCATGTCTACTAATGAATATCTGAGGATACCATGACAAATACCTTTTAAGCCTATTGAATCAGACAGAATTGTGTGCAACTTCGGATTTGGTTCCCAAAACCCAGACTGTGCTTCACACAGTCTGGTTTTAGGGGGTCAACTGTTTAAATCCATATCTATTGAACCCCTGATTCAATCTCACTGCTTCTGGGCCTCAAAGTTGGAGCAGGGTATGAAGATTACAGAAAGAATTTTTTCATATTTATACTTACATTTAATTGGCAACACAGTAGTTTCGGATATCGGTGGACTCAAAAGTGTCGGTAATACTACTAGATGCCATGTGCGCCGTCAACGCGTCAATCCCAGCTGCATCTCCAAGACTTTCAACGACGCTGCCTTACGCAAGGTGGTCGAAACAATCGCTATCCGCCCCGGCTGTCTCGTTGAAATCGTCAACTTCAACGTTGAGGTTAGTAGATATTTTTCGTTCAATCTGTCTCAATCTGATCTTTGCATAGGGTTAACAATATGTCTGCGCTGGAGAGTTGACCGCGCTTCAGACACTGGCCAACGTCCTCAACTACCTCAAGCTCGAGAAGGTGGATATCGCAAAAGTTAGTACATGTGAACGTTCATAGTGTATCGATGGCTGAATCTTGCACAGTTAACGGAGATGTTCAGCATCGAGAAGGTCAAGGAAATGCTAACGGAAATCGTCGAGAACTGCTTCAAGCGCCCCGAGTCGCAGCGCAAGCCTGAGGGCCACATCAAGCTCGAATGCGGCTTCGCCACCATTCCTCTTCTCAGGATTGATGTGCTCTGCCACTCTCGTTACTTGTGGGTGGGCGTCATGCCTGTCCGTACCTGTGAGCATCCCGCTCAGAGCATCTCTATCTTCGTGATAAATGCACTGCCAGGCCTCTCGAAGAAGATCAACACCGCCCATATGAACGCCGACATGCTCGAGGGCAAGTACAGTCCAAATCATGTAGGCCAAGCTGTTCGAGGTCTCGAAAGAGTACGCCCAGCTCATCTATGACCAAATTTCTTCGCTGCGCTTGTCTAAGGTTCTGCGCAAGTGAGACAAGGAGACTTGGTACGATGTTGAGCAACGTCAGAAGCTGGCGTACATCATCCTCGGGGAGCTATTGGCCTACCAGTTCGCGTCGCCAGTTCATTGGATCGAGACTCACGATTTGCTCTTCACTAAGGACCAGTTCGAACGCTTCGTCGAGATCGGCCCATCTCCTACATTGGCAGAGATGAGGGTCGGCCCTCTCGTGCTTTCGCGCCTCTCTCTCTTCCTCCTCAGGGGTTGTCATTGAGGGCCTGTGGGCAGGGACGATGACAGCGATGCGCGAGCGGGATTCTCACGCACGACAGCTTGTCGTTGTGCAGATCCATTTGCACATGTTCTCGTCTGCTGGCCCTCGAGGTCCTCGTCGCGGGCGCCGCGTCGTCTGGAAGTCGGGGCGACGGAGAGGATTTATCTGACGTGCTGTGCGGGTGCGAGTCGGGCAGGCACATGAAACTCGGGGACGAGGGATCGAGGAGGACGGTGCATGGACCAATTACGGACGAGGAGGCCGGCAAGGAGGGACGATGGAGGCTGGACATGGACTCGCGCGCGCATCCTCTGAGCAGGCACGAATAGGGCAGTTACTAAGGAATCGCGGATGGGGCTTTCAGGGCACGAGGAGGAGGACGGCACGAGGAGGGAGACAGCACGAGGCGGACGGTGGACGGATCACGCGACACATGCAGAATCACGGGGCTGTCCCGGAAACGAGAAGGAGTTTGGCGGAAGGACAAGGCGCGGACGATTGGGTGGACAGGCAGACGTGGCAACGAGGAGGATGCGAGGAGGCACGCCCCGTGGGCGTGTGAGATGTGCGGGCGCGAGTCGGTCGACGCGCGTGTCGTCTGAGGGAGCGGGCGCACGTTGGGCGGGCACAATCCTCCTGTGGACTAGCAGTCACGGCATCGCGGGGGAGGGAAGAAGGCACGCACGTGTCATCCAAGGGAGCGGGCGCGAGTCGTCAGAGGGAGTGGGCGCCACTCGTCAGAGGGAGCGGCCGCGCATCGGGCGGGCACAACGCTCTTGTGGACCGGTAGACACGGAAGCACGGGGGAGAAGGAGGCACGCCCCGCGCGTGTGTGAAATGTACGAGCGCGAGCCGAGCGAGGGAGCGCGCGCGTGTCGTCAGCGGGAGTGGGCGCACATCGGGCAGAAAGCTCCTGTGGGCCGGCAGACACGGAATCGTGGGCGCGGGATAGAGGGCGCGAGTCGGGCGAGGGATAGGGGGAGCGTGTCGTCAGTGGGAGTGTGCGGGCGCGAGTCGGTCGACGCGCGTGTCGTCTGAGGGAGCGCGCGTGAATCGGGCGAGGCAGCAGCCAGGTGTGTCGTCAGAGGGAGACGCACGTCGGGCGCCGGGCGTGTCGTCAGAGGCAGCGGGCGCGACTTAGGCGGAGCGGACGCGAGCCGGGAGCTGCGCGGGTCGTCAGAGGGAGCAGCCGCGAGTCGGGCGATGCAGCGGCCGCGTGTCGTCAGTGGGAGACGCAAGCAGCGCGACTCGAGCAGGCACCAGGGATCTGGAGTCGAGGAGTCGGGTTCGAGGAGGGGACGGCACAGGGACCACACGCGGACGATGAGGCGTACGATGAGACAGGAAGCTAGATGTGGGATGCAGACTCGCGCGCGCGTCGTCTGAGGGAGCGCGACTCGGGCGGGCATCAGGGACTCGTGGTCGAGGGATGCGGGAGATGGCCGACGCAGGGACCACACGAGAAGGGACGCAGGAGCCAGGTAGAGGACCCGCAAGCGTGTCGTCCGAGCGCGCGCCAGTCGGGCGCACACAAGGTATTCGCGGACGAGGGATCGAGGAGGAGGACGGCACTAGGATCCGTCATGGACAAGAGGTAGGCGTAGAGGGACGTGGGATGCTGTAGGCAGGCTCGCACGCTCGTTGCCTCAGCGGGCAAGAGTAGGCAGGGCACAGGCGTGTCGTGGGTGGAGTGACGAGGGATCGAGAGAAGATCGGCGGACGGACCACAAGGGAAGGAGGAAGCTGGCGAGGAGGGATGATGTAGGGTGGAGGCGGACTCGCGCGCACGTCGTGTGGGTGGGCACTGTCGTCAACGAGAGTTGGCGCGCATCGGGCAGAAAGCTCTTGTGGGCCGGCAGACACGGAGTCGTGGGCGTGGGATAGAGGGCGCGTGTCGTCAGCAGGGGTGTGCGGGCGCGAGTCGGTCGACGCGCGTATCATCAGCGGGAGCCGGCGCGAGTCGTGCGAGGGACAGAGAGCGCGGGTCATCAGCGGGAGTGTGCGGGCGCGAGTCGTCAGAGGAAGTGGGTGCGTATCGTCAGAGGGAGCGGGCGCGCGTTGGGAGGACACAACGCTCCTGTGGGCTGGCAGACACGGAATCGCGGGGGAAGGAAGGAGGCACGCCCCGCGCGCCTGTGAGATGTGTGGGCGCGAGTCGCGACGCGCGTGTCGTCTGAGGAAGCGAGTCGGGTGAGGGATAGAGAGCGCGTGTCGTCAGCGGGAGTGTGCGGGCGCGATTCAGTCGACGCGCGTGTCGTCAGCGGGAGCCGGCGCGAGTCGGGCGAGGGAGCGGGCGGAAGGCGAGCGAGCCCAAGAGTCCGGTGGAGGACTAGACGCGTAAGAGAAGTGTAATGAGCGTGTGGTCTGAGGGAGCGGGCGGCAGACGGTGCAGACGTGGAGAGGAATATGGGCGAGGAGGGACGCCCCGCGAGCGTGTCGTCTGTGCGGGAGTCAGAGATGCATGTTACGGACAAGGGTGATGAGGGAAGGAGGAGGGCTGTATACGGTGGGACGCGACTCACCAAGTAACCTATACCGTCCGTTCCAACGTAATTGCTCTCGCTGATGCGCAGTATACTGATCGGATAGTCTCGTGGTGGTGGTCCGGCGTCATGCGAAGGAGAGGTGGTCGAGTGGGGGCGGTCGGTGAAGGGGTATGGGCGTAGGCAGGGTATGTAGGTCCCGTGAAAGGACGACATAAGCGGTTCATACACCGCGATTCAACAGTACTCACTTGAGCTGACACATTGACTCTCTACCAACTGCTAACGCAACCGCGCCCTCAAGACCCATCCACGTCGCTACACTTCGCGTCTCCTTCCCCCCAGCAGCTAATGTCATCCGTGTTCACAAGTCCCTTCGAGATTGCCCAGGTACACAGCCATTTCCATGATACCGTCGATCACCGTCGATCGTCGGTCGTACGAGGTGAGTCGTTAAGCGTCATAAGCGGCCTTGGGATGTAGTTACTCACCGGAAGGACAGGTTCTTGAGTTGCTGGTGGGTTCGGGGGCGCGGGGATCGATGAGTTGGGATGACTTTGCGAGAGTAAGTGATGCTTTGGTGGTATTGCGAGCGCTCTAACTTGTGGTGTGTAGGCAATGATGCGCGTCGGGTTCAAACTCAAGACTGGATCAGGATCACGCATCAAGTTTAAGTGTGAGCAGATGCGCATCCAGCGCAGCACCCGTGGCTCTGGCCTCTATCATCTCAGCGGCAGCGCAAAGCGAATGTCGGCAAAGTGTAATGGCTTCTTGCGCGAGATCATCGAAGATTGCAGGCTTTCACGGGTGCGTTGATTCGGGGTGCAGCGCACGCACATACATGAATGATATGATACATCCATAAGTATATGAGCAGAACGCGGCAGTGACAAGAGAGGTTGAAAATTTAAGACCTACCTGAACAAAGTCGTGCAGCTGCGCAAGCACGCGTGCCGTCGTATCGAGCGTCAGGAACCACGTGTCGCGACGCTCGAGGCTGGCAAGCGAGGTTTGATTCTAAGCACCAAACAGCTGGCGCACGCTCTCGCGCTCTTTCTCCCGCAACCCCGTCATGGGCGTACGCGCGGCTGACAACGTGAAAAAGGACATATCAGCCTCCTTTCTTGAGAATATAGATGGAATCAACGGAGTGAAGGGATTGCACCATGTTGACGGAACCCCCAGAGGAGAGAGATAGAGCCGCTTACCAACGATTTTATCGGGATATGCCAGGTCCTCTGTCTTGGGCACATAGTATCTGATCTCGCTCTGGATGACCGCCTGCGCTTTGAAAAACAGCCGTGTCTGCGCATTCTGAAGCACCATCTGCAACAATCGGCTAATGTGCAGCGTGCCTGCATTGCCACGGGAGACTCCGGCGTTGGTCGAGAAGACGTCTTCCTCGTCGGAATCAACTCCAGTGCTCATCTCAGGCGCGGGCGCGTCGAGTACCATCAGCGCCTGGAGGACGGTGCACACATCACATAGCGCAGAGATGCGTTGTTCGTGGAGGATACGTGGGCGTAGATCATCGTAGAGGTAGTCGCATAGAGTTTCGAGGTATGCGCTGTCCTCGATGGTAAGACAAGCCCAATGTGCCGAAGGGGAGGGGAAGTCTATGCGTTAGCGATCAGTTAGCGAAGACCGATTGTAGAACGTACTAGAGATGGTCCTCGCCCGAACGACCTATGGAGTTCGAATTCGTCGGTGCATAGCTGCTTGAGATAGCTGCATCCGGCTCGTGTCTGGCACGCATATATCGATGAATTCGTAAATATCAACAAGCCCCCTCAAAAATTTAATAAACAGAGAAAGCATAGATGACTCACCAACTCGACCACCTCAGCCCTCCCAGGCTCCAGTCCCTTCACCTCCTCCGCGATTTTAGCTACCAACAAGCTCCTCCGAGTGCTGAAGTATGCAGCATGGCACTCATCGAGGAGGGAAGACAGAGATGCCGGGTGTGCCGCGGCATGGCGCTCGAGCTCAGAGAGGAGCGGAGACAAGGTGGCAGCGACGGTTGCGAAACGTGTGTAGAGCAGGTGAGACTGGACGGTAGGGGACACGTCCTGTGAGGTTGATTCGCCATGCGTGAGATGGTTAAGTAAGTGAAGAACAGGTTAGCAAACAGCTTGGATTCATAGAGAAGGCTGCGACCACACATTCTCACTAAGTCGCCTCGCGACGTCCTGCGCGAGCGCGCGAAGCGAACCGACGGCGTACATTTTGACGAGTGTCATAGCACGTGTCATGCACTGCTCAAAACGGAGAAGGTAGATGTCTGCTTCCTTGTAATGGCGCTATTCCAGAAAAATCAACGCGTAATTGCGAGACTTGGTGTGAAAATGATCGGGAGAGAGACCGTACATGACCCTTCAGAAACTCTATGCACACATCGACACGCTCGACCATATACAAAAAGTCCGTTTGAAGGACGAGAGCCTCGCCCGGATGGTTGAGCATGCGGGGCGTGTGCTCGAGCTCGGCGAAATAGTCGAGCCGAGCGCCGAGCGCGTCTTGCAGCTCGAGGAGCGCATCCTGACCGTATGAAGTCATCGTCAGCCGCAAATATATTGATAGGCCAGATGATTCTGATAAAAAAGCAGGAGAAATCCAGAGATAGAGAACGCGTTGTGCGGACTAACAGACTAAACCGTTCCTCCAGCAACCTCTCGCACTCCTCCTTCATACTCTCGCCTCCATCCTCGACGCGTTTCCACTCTTCCATCATCCTTGTTATCTCCTGATCGACCTCCTCCCCTCTCTCGACCAGTCGATCGCACAAGTCGAGGTGCCGCGCGAGCGCAGCGAGATGGGCGTGGAAGTGAGTCTCCTGTCCATGGGCGACGGCGCGGCCACCACCTCACGTCCTCTTCCAGCAGCGCTCCATCACCACCGCCATCGCCATCGCCGGCGCCAGCGCGCAGGGCGGCCCACAGCTCCGCGACGCGCTCGCGCTCGGTGCGGCTCATGAGGAGGACGACGATCGCGAAGCGTGGGTGCGCGCGAGGTCGGTCATGTACGCGCGGATGTGGCGAGCAAGCGTGGGGCTGGTGCTGCATCGGCGTCGTTAGCGGAGGGCACGGGGGAGGGGTGAGGGGTGAGGGCGAGGAAGGTGGATAGGAGGAAGGGGAGGGGGCGAGTTCGAGGGAGGTTTGGAAGAGGGCGGGGGAGAGCGGGGGGCGGGATTTGCTGTGGGCGTGGTGGCGGCGTTCGATGGGCAGTGGTGATAGAGCGTGCGTGTCGTGTCGCATCGGAGAGGAGGGACGGCGAAGGCCAAGCGGACAGAGCGAAGTCAGCGGGAGTTCGACACCGAGGTTTCACGGAGGAAGGAAGTCAGAGTTGTGAGCGGGGGCGGATCGCGAGCGAAGGGAGAAAGGGAGAGGGGGAGAGAGAGGAGAGAGGAAGAGAGAACGCACGCACGCATAAGAGCGCCCAGCGCGTGCGAGGTCGTTTTCACGCTCCCACGCGCGCGTGAACGCGAACAGCATCATCGGAGGCTTGGCCCGCGTCGTCGTCGTCGCTGTGGTTGCGGACGCCGGCGTGGCTAGGGCACGCGGGGCGGGTGGATCGGCGGCGGCGGGCGGAGACGCGGGGAAGAGCGTGTGCGCGCCCGAGGCGCAAAAGACGCCGCCGCCCGCGCGGGGAGTAGCGGCCGTCGGCGGCGACGGGGGACTTACGGGTGTGTTTGGGCGGGCGTGTGCGGTGGACGCGGGTGGCACGGCAGTGGTTGTAGCGACAGCGACGCTGGGTTTGGTGCTGTCGCGGGTGGGTTTTGCGTCTTTGAAGGAGGTGGGTTTGGGGGCGGGCGATGCAGAAGCGGAAGGGAAGGGGGAGGAGGGGAGGGGAGGCGCAGGCTTGGGGGCGGGGTCAGGGGCGGGGTCGGGCTTGACGATAGTGATTGGGATGCATCGGTGTTTGGGATTTGGATGCTGGGGAGGAGCGGAAGTGGAGATGGATGGCGAGATGTCTTTTGGCTGCTCATCAAGAGGGTGTGATAGAACGGAGAGGGGAGAGGTGGGGCCCGTGCATGGTCTTTGGTTTTGCTTTCGTGTGTTCCTTCGCGGCGAGGCCTACACGCCTGAGCTCTGCGGCCACGGCGTCGTTTGAGGGAAGTTCACCGATCGGCGCTATCTCAATCGCCTCGCCCGAGCCGTCCTGCTCCACCACGAGATGCTGCGAGCACCTGTCCGTCAGAATCTCACTCGCGCCCTTAACGTGCAGCCGCCACCGGCCGTCGGGCAGCTTCACCGCGACGCCCATGGCCTTGTGGTCGTTCGAGAACGGAATCATCTGCTCTCGAAGCTGTCCCGGACCTGCTTGTAATCCGCCCACCCGAGCTCCTTCGCGAACTTGAGCAGCGCCGTCTTCGTCTTGCTGCCCACGAACACGAGCTCGCCCGTCGCAGCGTCGCGGTCCCCGAACGCGGTCGAGTTTACGGCGATCGTGTCGTTGAAGAGCGTCTTGAGCGCGGGTGAGAGCACCTTGTTGAGTTACACCTGGTCGAGCGAGAAGTCCTGCACGCGCTTGCGGTCGTCCGACGTGTTCAGGTCATCGACGTTCGAGCGCGCCTTGTTGTCCTCAAATTGCCGCACGAACTTGGAGTGAACGCCGACGGAGCCGGCGACGATGGTCATCTCGTTTTGCGTCAAGGTACCTGTCTTGTCCGTGCAGATGACAGATGCGTTTGCCATCGTTTCGCAGGACCCGAGGATGCGCACGAGCAACTTTTCCTGTGTCATTCGCTTCGTCGCAAATGCAAGCGCCAACGTGACCGCAAGCGGTAGACCTGCAAGGCGTATTCCGATCAGCATATATGCACCTGATAATCATCCCAGGGACAGACCTTCAGGCACAGCGACGACGACGAGCTGGGAGGACGGGGGTGGTGCGCGCGGTAGCTGAGGCTGTCTCTGCGCGGGGGCGGGTCTTGCAGCGAGTTCTTGGACGACGGCATTGGGGGAGGCGCTAGCGCAAAGAAAGACGACATACCTCATGGATATCCTCGTCGTCCGCGCCCTCTCTCTTCCCAGATTATCTTTCCGCCATCGCCGTTCCTCAGCGTGGTCGTTGTCGCTGTCGTCGTGATTGTCAGTGTGGTCCTCTTTGTCGTCGTGTTTGACGCTCAGACAGTCACGATGCTTGGAGCTTTATCAGGCAGCGTGGGCGTGGGGGTGTTGGTGGAGCAGAACGCCTCCACGGCCGACATCGTGGCGGCGCAGGGGAAAGAGACGGCGGTGAGCGGGGGCGTAGGCGTGGACGAGGACAGAGACGGGGTCGGGAAGGGAAAGGTTAGTCCCTCGAGGATCTGTAGATAGTAGAAGTAGAGGAAAAGAGAAGGAAACATCAGTACACGTCCTCAACGATGCTAGCTTTATCAGGGCCTCGGCGGAGGCCCATCGTCCGCTTGCATCATTGAGAGCGCAAAAGAAAGAGAGCACGAAGGAAGCGGGTGTCGAGAAGTAAAAGGAACAAAAGATAACTCACAATGAAAGGTTCAAAGTGCTTGTTTCGCTCATCTGGACCAGCGTCTGCGCTGGTTTCGCAACCGATCGTCCCGTAGAAGAAGAGGATGTGGCTGATGGCCTGTCGAGAAGTCTCTGGCTTGCAGGCTTGCAGAGGATGTCGACATTGGCACGGACAGGGTGTGGACGAGGGATCGCGGAGACGGAAGAGGTACTGAGAGACGAGCATAGACCGAAGAGTTGGATTGAGAGCTGTTCATTACGATCGAGGTAGAGTGGTGCTCCTTCCACTTCGGGCGAAAAATTTCGCCCACAAATCGTGTGGGTGAACGGGCCTGAGTTCAAAATATAAATCTAAATACAACAAGAAAAATAATACAGGCTGTAGCTACAGAGGAGCACCTAAGAAAGTAGCTTCGAGGGAGGTGTATATGCACGCAAAGTACATGGAACGAGTCGCGCGGACTACATGCATATGGTATTGGCCGACAAATAGAAGATACAAGGGGAGAATGAGGCTGCAAGCCTGGGCATGTTGCGCGACTGTACTCTTGAGACTGCTGGAACAGTAAGAGCGCGTGTTCTGCTGCCATCGTACACTCGACTAGCTCGCTTGAGGCCCTCTAGTGTCATGTGTCCGACAACGTTCTGCCGAGAAGGCTGTTCGTGATGTCAAATGTCAGCATCAAGAGCACGAGAGAGGAGGAGAGGGAGAGGAGGAAAGAAGGAAATGAGGCCGGCGAAGGCGGCGGCCGCGTGCTGTCTGCGGCAGCCAGGCTCCCCACAAAGCCCAAATTCACCTTCGGCGAATTTGGGCTGTGGGGAGCCTGGCTGCCGCAGACAGCACGCGGCCGTTTCTGCAACATGACTTGTCCACCGGCACTTTTACGCCGCGTAGAGCGACTGGGCGCCCTGGACAGCGCGCCGCCAATTCTCGTCCTGCTTTGTCCTGCAACCAAGTGTCGACATTGAGCTGATCCGGCATTGTTTCAAGCGAGTCGTGGGTGGATGGAGAAGTGGGATGGTCCACAGGGCTAAGCGTGGTGGAGGACTGGGAAGGCGAAGGGTATGAGCGCGGAGGTGTGGGAGCGCGCGAGAGGCGAATTTGGGCCTCTTGTCGTGGTGCAACAGGTGGCGGTCGAGCGCACTGGGTGGCGGGAGTGCGTGGCATCGAGGGCGGGAGTGCGAACAGTCGAGGGTACGCAAGTCGAGGGAGGGGCGGGCGGATGGGAGGAGTAGTCGGTCCACACATGCGAGGAGGAGCCAGGGGGCTGAGAAGACGAATGCGTGGGGGTTCGAGGCGTGGATGTCGAGGGAGGGGCAGGCGGAAAGGGCGATAACAGGAGGTACGTACCGTCGTACCGCTCTGCCTGCTCGATGAGCGTGTGTCCATCACCATCGTCCCGTCGCTCCACCCTCGTCTCTCGACAGCCGCTGTCCCTCCTCTGCCTCTATCACCATCTGCTCCTTGTTCTTCTCTTCAACGTGCTCAACCTCGTGTGATAAGATAGTCGCTTTGCTCCATGCGCCGTGAGACAGGATGGGCGCAGAGCAGTCGTTTAAAGAGAATGGCGCTGACGCGGATGTCGTGGATGTTGATGAGAAAAGAGAAACCCGTGGAGATGGAAGAGGGTGTGGAAAGAGCGTGGAGTGGGTGCCCGGAGTATTGCAGCTGCAAACTGTAAGAAAAAACGCTATCAGCAGTGCGCACTTTCTCTGAGCATCGGTTGTCTGCTGGCGTCGTCGAGAGCATGCAGAGGAAGGGTTCAGAAGAATAAAAAGCTCACTAATGAAATCCAAAATGTCCTGAGAGAGCAAAGAGACCTCGGCCGAGGAAGCGTGTTGTGCTCGATGTTCAAATGTGCGGGGAGGATCGACGCGACGCGACGTGGCGGCGTGCTTGATCACGAGACGTTGGAGGGCACTGTGTGCCGACACAGTCGGAGGGAAAACTCCGACTGTGTCCGACACAGTCGGACTGTGTGCCGACACAGTCGGAGGGAAAACTTGGACTGTGTCCGACACAGTCGGACTGTGTTCCGACACAGTCGGACTGTGTGGCGCGACAATCATCGGACTGTGTGCGGCACGGCCGGACTGTGTGGCGCAGATTCACCGCCAAATCTCGGACTGTCACCGAGAATCCGGACTGTGTGGCGCTGAACCAGCGCCAAAATCCGGACTGTGTGCGGTCTCGGCCGGACTGTGTGGCGCAACAGAGAGACTGTGCGTGGTGTGACAACAGTGTGACAACTGTGCACCCGCAATCTCCCGACTGTGTGCCGCCCTTTCCCGATGCTGACTAAACTGTGTCTCCGGGTTGCAGAATACCCTCAACATCACAAACAATTACATATCTCTGGATCCCCTCATCCAAATAATAAAATTAGGGTATAATTCGAAAGGTAGTGTATGTAGGAGCATTTTATTAGTTTTGTAATGGAAATAAAAGGAAAATTGTGGACTGGAGACTCGGTTTTTTGAGGTTTTTCCCTCAATTCTGTATTCTGCCTATAACATCTTCAGTACTCCATGTCTACTAATGAAAATATTAGGGTACCATTAAAAATACATTTTAAGCCTATTGAATCAGACAGAATTGTGTGCAACTTCGGATTTGGTTCCCAAAACCCAGACTGTGCTTCACACAGTCTGGTTTTAGGGGGTAGACTGTTTAAATCCATATCTATTGAACCCCTGATTCAATCTCACTGCTTCTAGGCCTCAAAGTTGAAGCAGGGTATGAAGATTACAGAAAATATTTTTTTGTATTTATAGTTGCATTTAATTGGCAACACAGTAGTTTCGGATATCGGTGGACTCAAAAGTGTCGGTAATACTACTAGCCGCATCTCCAAGACTTTCAACGACGCTGCCTTACGCAAGCAGCAGACAGGTTCGTCATGTCAGCCGTATATTGGCATGGGTGGCTTCTTCACCTCTTAATGGCCTCTTTAGCCCTGCCATACCCCTGTCCTACCCTGAACCTTCTAGCTTTTCAGGTTAGAATCCAATCATATTGTCCTCGGAATTTCCTGACATATTGAGACAGATGACCCCGAGTTTCCGACGCACAATGCAAACTACTGCCACTTTTTGCACAAGTCCGCCAGCTTCCAGGAGCAGATCGCGCTGCACGGCGCGAGCATGCAGAAGAAGGTGCACCACACCTCTTGGCTGCAGTTCTTCCAGGTTGTCATCATCGTGCGCATTCTCGATGATTCGATGTTCAACATGCTCAACTACACGCTAACGACGATGACAACGGGCTGGGGACTCTGTCGGCTGTCAAGGAGAAGGACTCGATGAACATCGACAAGTGCACGCCCTCGCACAGGTCGTATCCTGCTCGCCGCCGCCGCCGCTCGTGCAGCGCCAGCACGCACTGCTCCTGCAGCAGCTATGCATAGGTTTGGTTGTACAACTTGGTGACGTACGACTATAAAGTAGATAGCTCATCTCCCCACCACCAGCTGCTCCTCACCCTCCTCGTCGACGCGCTCAAGTGCGAGTAGCATGATGTTTGCGATCCTCCGTGCTCGAACGCGGAGTGTAAGTGTGACCGAAACTCGGGCGCAGTGGAGCAACAACGACGACAGAGGGACGTCGGAATCTCGGTAATGCTCGCTTGGCGTTGAGAGAACGCATGGGCTCAAGGGAGAGTTTGATGCTTGAAGGGCTCGAGGACGCAGGGTGGCAGTGGTGCGGACCATCGAGGGAGCGAGGGAGCGTGCATGCGTGCGTGCCGTTGAGGAGGTTGAAGGAGGTCGAATCTTGGGGCTAGGTAGCGGATGTGTGGCATGAGGGAAGGAAGGTCGAGTGTCGAAGGGGTTGTGTGTATGGTCGTCAAGGAGAACGAGGGTGTGGTGTCGGAGCGCATCGAGCAGGCTGGCGGGCGTGGCGGAGAACAGGTGAGTGGGCATAGCAGATAGACAAGATGAGAGTGGGGGATACGAATGTCCGGGAGAGGGAGAAACTGGCACGAGACACGACGACGTACCGGCCTGCTCAACGAGTTTACATCCATCGTGAATGTCCTCGTTGTCCGTTTCAATCCTCTTTCCAGTATGTCTCTCCGCTATAGCCGTTCCTTATCCTTGAGGTAGGGTCTGGGTGCGATCCGCGGGCAGTCGACAGTTGGGAATTTGAGGGAGTGAAGGTCGAGGGTTTTGAAAGGACGAGTAGGAGGGCAGGAGTAGTGTCGAGGAGACAAGCGTCACCCCTGCAACACTCGCGAACCGCCCGTTCCGGCGTGCGTGCACCTGCATCCATCACGACGTTCCCATCGTCTATGCCCATCTGAGCTCACAGCCCTCCTCATCCTCCACCGCCGCCGCCTTTCCTCTTCGACTTCCTCAGCCACGAGCGCGGGATGGCTGACAGATGGGGGATTGAGCGTGTGCAGGGTCGAGCGTGTGCGGGGTCGAGTGTGTGCGGGGACTGAGGGGTCGCATCGTCAAGAGGACAAGGTAAGACGAGGATGTGAGGATGCGGGGTCGAGCGCGTGGGCGGTGTCGGCAATGATGCAGGATGAGGGAGAGGCGGGCGGAGGGGTTGACGAGAAGTCGGGCGTGCGTGCGTGAGCTGGAGGAGTCATGCGTAAACAAATGTGGGCGGCAAGCGAAGGCGGGTGCGTGAGCTCAAGGGTTCAAGGGGGTCGAGGGTACTCGGTGGTGGGCAGGGGGCAGACGGAAAGGAGGAGAGCGGGAGTTACTAACCTTGGTAATACTCGGCCTCCTTCCTAGTTCGTCTCTCCGCTGCCGCCGCTCCTCCTCTTCTTCCTCTGCCGCCAGCTGCTCCTCGTCTTCGTCTTCGTCTTCGACGCGCTCTAGCTAGTGGGGCGTGACGGTCGTGATACTCTGCGCGTCGTCGTCGTCGCCTCCGTACTTGCCGCCATCGTGATCCTCGGCACGCAGCGTCCCCGAACGTCGTCTGCAGCGTGCGCTGTCTAATTCGCGTTTTTCCTCCTCCATCAGCTCGTGGAGGGTGCTGACTTCGCGATTGATGGCTTCGTGCTCGGAGAGCATGCCTTCCATGATACAGATCTTATCGACGAAGGAGGCAAGAGAGACTTGGGATTCCTGCATTTGAGACTGTAGTTCGACGACTGTCGCAGGAGTTGGCGCCGAGCTCTCGCTAGTGGGCGGCTCAGTCGGGGGCGGTGGCTGGGGCGGTTGGACAGGAGGAATTGTTTGGGGGTATGGAGGGAGATTCGAGGGCTGGCATGTGTGTCAAACGAAAATCAGCGTACAAGGCAAGGAGGCAGGAACTTACCGGGACACCACTCAGTGTTTCGTGGATCTCGTTCATCGCGCCCGAGAGGGAGTTGAGCTCTGCTCCAGTCTCTCGAGACTTATGGAGCCCGCCTTGGAGACGAGTAAGGACATAGTCGAAGGAGCGGCTGCCCTTGCCGGGGGCGCGCATGTTATCGCCCATGCCGGCGAGAGCGCTGCAGACGCCCGCACCCGCTGCTGCCGACGCCGACGCGCTCGTGCGCCTGCGCGCACCGCACGTTGTCCACCGTGCGCTTCCTGCACGCGCACAGCTTCGTCGTTAAGAACGGGCACGGCGGGCACCCGCGCGCGTCGTCCGCGTGGCACGCGTATGGTGAGCGCGGGTGCTCACACGCCGGCGGCGGCCGTGTGCACGGGTGCGGGCAGCACAGGCGCGTGCCGCATGGGATCGGCGGGTCGAGGATCGTGAGGCCGCAGTGGTAGATCATCTGCGCACGCGCGCACATCTCACCATCAAGTACAGTCCAGCCTAGTGAGATGACAAGCGCGCGACGCACCCCTTCGAACGAGCTCCGCAGGCACGACGAGCACGGGCCCTTGTGGTCCCGCTCCTCGCAGCGGTGGTTCCCGTATGCGAGCGGCTTCCTACATACGAGATCGCACTCGTGCCAGCCTGCCTCGTCCACGATGTCCTGCGGTCCCACGGCGCCCGCGGCTCTTGCCCTTCGCGGCACCCAGGCCGGCGAGCGCCATGAGGGGGTAGCACGCGCGTGCACTAGTGGCGCGCGCACGCGCGTAGCGCGCCGTAGGGCCTGTCACACAGGATCTCGGGCGCGGGCGCCGCACCGCCGACAGCGCTGCACGGGACGTTGTGCGTCGTCGCGCCGCACCTGCATGGGCACACGAGAGGGATGGAGCATAGGAGGCATGGGCCGGCGTAGCAGCGCGTTGCGTACGCGTGCGCACAGCCAGAGGCAGAGGGAAATACAGGTCGGGATAAGGTCGGTGCAGGCTGTGCGGAGGAGACGGGCTGCGAGGAGGAGGGGGGAAGAAGGGCGCGGAGGGGGTGGAGGGGGTGTTTGTCGCAGGGTCAGCGGGTTGTGAGAGTTGGGGAGAGTGGGCAGAGTGGAGAGGTGCGGCAGGGCGTGCGGCAGGGCTGAATGCACTGATTAACAGCGCCGACGAAGGGTCTAAAAAGCACAGTTTTATCAGTCGAAGTCCGGCGTGGATAGAGGAAGAACGTACCGATCGCACGAATTCCCGCAATCAAACAAACTGACCCACTGCTCCTCCTCCTCGCCGTCTCCATGCACCACGGCGCACGCCTTCTTCTCTCCCTCCCCGCACGCAAGCCGCTTCTCCACTGTCCCACCCCAGCACCGCACAGCCTCGGTCACCGCACACGGCGGACACGCACCCGGATAGCACGGCTCCGCACAGACGTGGTCCCAGGTGGTATGCGAGCGCGCAGCGTGGGCCACGGGCTGCGGATTCGTGCTTAGGAGGATGGGCAGGGTCAGGGTCAGAGAGGAGAGGAAGGCGAGGGGGATGCGGAGGTGTTGTTGGTGATGTCGATTTGCTGGAGCAGGCGAATGCGATCCCGCATGCGTGCATGCATGCGTTAGTGTGTGCGTGTGCGGTTGGGTCAAAGGGATGAGCGGCAGCGGGCGTACCTCACACAGGATGCCAATTTGTACCTGCAGCATGTCCTGCCAGCGTGGCACACAGCCTGCAGAACCACGGCCATGTACAGGACGGCACAAGCGAGGCGCAGAGTACGCGCTCTGTGGTGGGCAGGTAGGGCTGTGGGGCCGCAGTCGTGGTCGCTGTGGTCATAGCGGTAGTTGTAGCAGTCGCGGTCAGGTTTGAAGGTGTGTTTGGCGAAGAGGGCGGGGCGGGAAAGGGCAGGTGAGAGCGGAGCAGGTGAGAGCGGGGCAGGTGAGAGCGGGGCAGATGAGAGAGGAGGAGAGCGAGAGAGAGCGCGCGGCCAATTAGCATCCCATTCGTCACGGAGTACATGAGCGCGAGCATTAGCGAGAGGGACGTACGTTGAGTGCGACACGCGTGCACGCTACCTTCCACAGCCTGCAGCACCTGTTCCCGTGCTATGCGTCGAACATGGTGTCGTCCGGCCCTCCGTCCGCACCGCTGCCGTCCGCCACTTCGTCGTTGTCAGTGCCAGTGTCTCGCAACTCCGTTGCTGTGATGCCAGTCAGCAAGGCAGGGACAGCGAAAAAAAAAGGGAGAGAGGAAGGGAGAAGGAGAAGGGAGTGGAAGAGGAAGAGAGAGCTGCGCACCGATGTCTGCCCGAGCGTCTGTGAAAGGTTGCGGCGGCGGGCCTTGGCATCGATATCGGTTGCGCGCTCTGCGTCAACCTTTGCCTCGAGGCCGAGGTTGGCCTTGAGAGCGGGTTTTAGGAGTGAGGAGAGCGGGGGAACGGCGGTGGGGAGGTAAGACTCGTGGGGTTGCTGTCAGCCGTTGTGCTGCTGTTGCCAGAGGAGCCATTGCTGCTGGAGGTACTCACTGCGTAGTCCTGGAGCCACTCCGCACGCCTGGCATACAAGCACGCGCTTAAATATGCCCCAGATGGCGAACACGTACTCCGTCGCGAGCTCCGGAGGCAACAGTTTTTAGCAGTTCCAATGCAACCTGCATGCACCCTGCCGCTGCTTGCGAAGCAGCACGCAGGATAAATCAGCATTGTGTTAAGAACAAAGAGAGAGAAAAAGAGGAAGCAAGCAGCGCACCGAGTAAATAGTGCGCACGCATACGCCGCCCCGCCCCACGCTACGCCGACGGCAGGACACTGACTAACACCACCTCGTCGCGATGCACACTGGCACCTCCCTCGAGCTGAACGCTACCACTGCCCAACGAGATCTCGCGCTGACACGCGGGCCCACGCGCATGGACTAGATCCCTCGCGCGTGACGGTCCGTGCTCCGGGGCCTGCTGCCAGCGCTCGCGGGCTGCGGGCCACGGCTGCGTGCGGAGGAGGGCGGGCAGGGTCAGGGAGAGCGAAGCAAGGAAGGCGAGGGGGATGCGGAGGTATTATTGATGATATCGACCGAGACAGCGCCGGAGCAGGCAAATGTGATCCTGCGTATATGCGTGCGTGCGTGAGTGTGTGCATTTGTGTGTGTGCGTGTGCGTGTGCGATCAGGTCAAAGGAGTGAACAGACGAAGAACGGCAGCAGGCGTACCTTGCACAGGATGCTGATCCGCGCTTGGAAGCTCTGGAGAGAGAGGCCGTGAACGGCACCGAGGGTAGTGATGGATGCATATGGACAGGTGGCAGGGTGTGCGATGGATGGGTGCACACTTTTGCGGCCGCACAGGCCGGGGAGTGAGTAGTCGGGAGAGTGCGCGCGATAGAAGGGTGCGTGGCCGCATCTCATTGAGTGAGATGAGCGGGAGTGCTGCAATGCTGCTTGGCACAAGGTTGTCTGTGGCGTCGTTGCCTAGGCGGACGCGAGCAGGGTGGGGGGTTCGGCAGAGAGGGGAGGGGAAGCCAAACAACAACAAGGGCTGCTGAAAGCTGCTGTGCGGAGTGGGGCTGCATGCTGCAAAATTTGTGTGCTGCTGCAGCGGGTTACGAGCAGAGGACGGCGACGAGCGTGTCGTTCATGGCTATAACGTTGAGGGAGGGGCGAAGATGAAGGCGGGAGGTGTGCGCGTACAGGGGAGGAACTGAGGTGAGTGACGACATATCTCTCGTTGATGTCGACCGTTCCCAACCGTGGGTGTCAGCATGAGCGAGGGATAGCCATAGACAAGGACAAGAAGGTGGAGGTGGAAAGAAGATGAGTGGCCGCGGCTGATACGCGGCTGACATGACGAGCCTCTCCAGCTGCAGCGAGGCTCGTCATGTCAGGCGCGTATCGGGACTCATCCCTGCCAATACGCGGCTGACATGATGAGCCTCTCCAGCTGCAGCGAGGCTCGTCATGTCAGGCGCGTATCAAGACTCAGCCCTGCCAATATGCGGCTGACATGAAGAGCCTCACTAGCCGCAGCGAGGCTCGTCATGTTAGCCGCGTATCGGGACTCATCCCTGCCAATACGCGGCTGACATGACGAGCCTCTCCAGCTGCAGCAAGGCTCGTCATGTCAGCCGCGTATCGGGACTCAGCCCTGCCAATACACAGCTGACATGACGAGCCTCTCCAGCTGCAGCAAGGCTCGTCATGTCAGGCGCGTATCAAGACTCAGCCAAGCTGATACGCGGCTGACATGACGAGCCTCTCCAGCTGCAGCGAGGCTCGTCATGTCAGGCGCGTATCGGGACTCATCCCTGTCAATACGCGGCTGACATGACGAGCCTCCCCAGCCGCGGACAGGCTCGTCATGTCAGCCATGTATTGGCATGGGTGGCTTCTTCACCTCTTAATGGCCTCTTTAGCCCTGCCATACCCCTGTCCTACCCTGAACCTTCTAGCTTTTCAGGTTAGAATGATTTGAAAGGTAGTGTATGTAGGAGCATTTTATTAGTTTTGCAATGGAAAATCAAAGGACAATTGTGGACTGGAGACTCGGTTTTTTGAGGTTTTCCCTTAATTCTGTATTTTGCCTGTAACATCTTCAGTACTCCATGTCTACTAATGAAAATATTAGGGTACCATGACAAATACATTTTAAGCTCATTGAATCAGACAGAATTGTGTGCAACTTCGGATTTGGTTCCCAAAACCCAGACTGTGCTTCACACAGTCTGGTTTTAGGGGGTAGACTGTTTAAATCCATATCTATTGAACCCCTGATTCAATCTCACTGCTTTTGGGCCTCAAAGTTGAAGCAGGGTATGAATATTACAGAAAGGATTTTTTCATATTTATATTTGCATTTAATTGGCAACACAGTAGTTTCGGATATCGGTGGACTCAAAAGTGTCGGTAATACTACTAGCCCTGCCATACCCCTGTCCTACCCTGAACCTTCTAGCTTTTCAGGTTAGAATTGGCATGGGTGACTTCTTCACCTCTTAATGGCCTCTTTAGCCCTGCCATACCCCTGTCCTACCCTGAACCTTCTAGCTTTTCAGGTTAGAATGTGCAGATGTTGGGTCATATCAAAGTTATTCGTCTGCCAAATCGCAAAGAGCTGCGGCACGGCCGCATCGTACGCGTTGGACAGCGCGATGTATGCCACGCGGTCGTCTTGCGACATGTGCGCAAGCGCCTCGGCGATCGTGTCATTGCGCTGGAGCTGGGAATGGTAGGCGCCCGAGGCGACGAGGAGCAGGCGCTCGGAGACAATGAGCTCCCCCGCTGCGATCGCGCGGGTCGCATACATGCCGATGCCTGCGCCTGGCACGGGCCCGAGGCGGTGGGCGGGGGACGTCGGCGCTGGGGTGGGCTGTGGAAAGCCGGGTTGGGAGAGGATGCACTGTGTCGTGCCGCCTTTGAGAGAGGGCGTGGCGTGTGGCCCGCCTGCAGACGAGCTTGTGTACACTCCAATGCCTTTTTTAGCAGTCTTGGCTCTGGTCGTCAGCGCGGGGATAGCGAGCATGCATGAAGCTTAACGAAGCACCTGAAAACGACAGCGTGCGCAATACATCTTGAGGGGGGGCGCATGCCGATTGGCGGCCTGGGATTGATATCGCCGGTCAATGAGCACCGATAGGAGGAAGCTTTACAATGCAATGCCGCGACTTGGAACTCAGCCCGGCGCCGACACTTCTCGGGGCGATGCCAGCTCCAGCTTTCAAAACGGCCATCGGCCACGGGCGCACGATTTATTTCTGCAGCAAAAGCGGGGACATGAACTGGGGGCGTGTGCGACTAATACGTACTGGACGAGAAGAATGTGCGCCTCGTATCTGTCTCGACTGCCGCGTCCTGGAGACAGCCGAGTCAACTGGAAGGCGAGCGATGCTCTCTCTAGGTTCGCGCGCGCGCGCGCGCGTTTGCTCGTTATCACACACAGTACGGATAGCGCCTAAGCGTGTCTGCGACGTGAAAAGTGGGCAAGAAGAACCGGACGCACAAAGGCGCTCGCTCACTCGCTCGCACGTCACCATCGGCGGGAAAAGAAAATATCATGCATTGGGGAGGGCGACGGCGCCGGCTGCGCGCGCGACGTCGTCGACGCGGGTGCGAAAGGCGGTCCAACGGGTGCTGCCGGCGAGGACGAGGGCCTCGTGGTCGGCGGCCGCGTCGGGGACGAGGTTGAGTCTGAGGAAGGGGTTCGCGGCGGAGCGGTAGTACGCGAGGTGGAGGGCCTTGAATATCTGCAGCGGGGGGAGGATGAAGAAGAGAAAGCGCTTCAGGATCGCGTGGGTGGAAGGCTAAGCGCGGGAGACGGGCGCACGGTGATGATGTCTGCGTCGCGGACGACGGCGTCGGTGAGGGCGAGGGCGAGAATGATCTTGACCTTTGGCGGGGTGATGTAGGCGTACACGGCGACGTCCTCCATGGAGTAGAGGAAGCCGAGGTAGCACTCTACCGACTTTGGCGCGGCGGCGACTGGATCGTGCGCGTCACATCAGCGCCTCAGCAGCCAAAAAAAAAAAGAGGGGCGCGCACTGCGCTCATCGACGACGTCAAGGCTTGTGTGTGCGATGTAGTGGTATTTGAGGAGGTCGTCGTGCGTTTGGGAGAAGGAGCGGACGAGGATGGGGTGGTTCTGCGGGGAGACGAAGGCGACGGCTGCGAGGCCGAGGTGGGGAGCCATGCTGTCACGGCGTGGTCACGGAGGGCTGGCAAGGGGGTGACGGGTGTGACGGCGGGGCGTGTGACGTAAACTGCAGAGAGGCGGCGGAGGCGACGGTTCGGTCGGTTGCATGCGACTCTGGCCCTGTCCTGCGAGACCCAGCACACAGGACGTCGCACTCCAGTCGTAGACGCTGCGTAGGTGCGAAGGTTGCGGCCCTCGCCTTTTGCGTGTCGTTCTGAATGTCCGTCCCCCAGAACGAGCCATTTGTACTGTACTCGAGCACCCGAGCACAGCTCCTGAGCACAACGTACGTGCGTCCATCCGCGACACCGCGGCCGTCTCCAGCTCCAACACTCGCGCAGCATTCTGCCCTCCAGTGCACCCCGCGATGTCGTTCCCGCAGGACATCCCCAACGCCTCGTCCTCGCCGCGCTCCCTGATCGCAGATCGCGACGGCTCGCCCACGCGCTACCGCAACGCCTCCGTCGACGGCGACCGCGCCTCCCACGTCCGCTACTCCCCGACCCTCACCCGCGGCTACAACCCCCTCGACCCCGACGTCCGCGAGCGCCAGCGCACACTCGACGTCGACATGGCTCTCCACCTCTCTCTCGCCCGCCGTGAGTCCATCTCCGCCTCCCCCGTTGCCACGACCCTCTCCCCCCGCGACCGCGACCACGACGAGCCCCGCCCCCACGCCCCCGACACGTCCGCCATCTTCCCTGGCCTCTCCCTCCACGAGGAGCAGGAGCTCTCCCTCGCCCGCGGCGCCCCCCCGAGCACCATCGACGAGGCCGGCGAGTCCTACCAGCGCCCCCCCACCCCAGAGGACCTCCGCATGCCTCACCTCAGCCAGGGCCACGACCCCTCCCTCCTCGTCTCCCTCGACCACGACCGCCGCTCCGACCCCGACCCCGCCCTCCCCATGTACCAGGCCGCCCTCATCCAAGACCACTCCAACTTCAGCTTTGGCCCCATGGAAGAATTTGCTGCAGCCGAAAAGGCCCGCCTCGGCCTCTCCGCCTCCCCAGAGCGGCACCCGCCGCTCATCCGCCACCGCTCGTCCCAGGGGCCCGAAGGCGCGGGCCCGGGGGAAGCCAGCGCGGGCTCACCCACCGACTCGCCGTTCCCCCTCCGCCGCTCCGCGCGTCAGCGCAAGCTGAGCCACAGCAACGCCGCGCCGCGCCGCCAAGGCCGCAAGATGGCGCTCTTCGAGGGCTCCGCGGGTGCCCCGCCCGCGTCGCTCGCGCGCGCGACCCACCTCTTCGCGAGTGGCGTCCCCGGTGCCATGAGCACGCTCTCGTCCGAGGAGTACCTCCCGACAGCGTCTCCCCCAACGGGCGCAGGCACAGGCCACGACCGGCCCTACCGCTTCTCCTTCTACTCCAACAGCCTCTCTGCGACCATCCACGCGCGCAGCCTCAGCGAGCTCCCGGCCGAGGGCCAGACGTTCGAGGATCTGTTCGGCGGCGCGTCGGGGCTTGGCACAATGGGCGGCGACGCGGGCACGGTGGGTCCGATCCACATCCCGGCGGCGCCGCAGTCGAGCGGGCACAGTAGCTTTCACGGCAGCAGCGCCGCGGGGGGCGCGATGTACGCGAACGGTGGGAACGGCGGGAACAACGGGAACAACAACGGGAGCTCCAAGACGGCGCTGAACGACCAGCGGCTGGGGAACGACCCGGAGGGGCAGACGTGGTGGCTGGACGTGCTCTCGCCCACCGACGAGGAGATGAAGATGCTCAGCCGGGTCCGTGCGGCTCGTCCATCCGTCCGTCTCCAGCGCGCGGTGCTGATCGTTCGCGTGCGCAGGTCTTCAACATCCACCCGCTCACGACGGAGGATATCCAGATGGAGGAGGCGCGCGAGAAGATCGAGCTGTTCAGGACGTACTATCTCGTCTGCTTCCGCAGCTTCGACCAGGACCCATTCAGCCCGACGTACCTCGAGCCGCTCAACGTGTACATCATCGTCTTCCGCGAGGGCACGCTTTCCGTGAGCCTCCCCCATTCCATCTCGCTGTCCGCGGTCTCTCACACACGCTTATATTCGCGCGCGCGCACGCCAGTTCCACTTCAGGTCCACGCCACACCCGCAGAACGTGCGCCGACGGATCAAGCAGCTCAAGGACTACATCAGCGTCACCTCCGACTGGATCTCGTACGCGCTCATCGACGACATCACCGATGCGTTCGGGCCGCTCATCCAGAGCATCGAGTACGAGGTCGACAGCATCGACGAGCTCGTGCTCATCCTCAAGGATGCCGAGCAGAGCGACATGCTCAGACGGTGCGTCGCGCTTGATCCCTCTGACAAAGACAGTACCACCGACGGCCGCTCACTTTGGAACAGCATCGGGACGTGTCGGAAGAAGGTTATGGGGCTCCTGCGCCTCATGGGCAACAAGGCAGACGTCGTCAAGGGGCTCGCGAAGCGATGCAACGAGAACTGGAAGGTCGCGCCCACGTCGGACATCGTACGTCCTCCCTCCCGCCGCCGCTTCTGTTCCTGCGCCCTCTCACCCCACTGACGCGCGCGCGCGCGCACTCGCAGGGCCTCTACCTCTCCGACATCCAGGACCACCTGATCACGATGACCCAGAACCTGAACCACTACGAGAAGATCCTCTCGCGCTCGCACTCCAACTACCTCGCGCAGATCTCGATCGAGATCACCGACGCGAACAACCAGATCAACGACGTGCTCTCCAAGCTCACCGCCCTCGGCACCGTCCTCATCCCCATGAACCTCGTCACCGGTGCGTCCCCCTCCCTCCCCCTCTCTCGCCCTCGCTCGCCTTCTTACCGAGTCGTCGCGCCCCGCAGGCCTGTGGGGGATGAACGTCCACGTTCCTGGCCAGGGCATCGATGTGAGCATTGAATCTGCATGCATGCATGCGCGCGTGTTGTGCTGACCTTCGTCGCAGTCCAACACCTGGTTTCTCTCCATCATCGGCTGCCTTGCGGCCTTCGCCATCATCGGCGGGTACTCCGCGTACAAGATGATCCGCAAATGACCGTTTCCGTGCTCCCTGTTCACCGTTCACGCTCTCGCTACCACGCACCGTGCGCCGTCGCTGTGGCCATCTATTTATGTCTTGCATCATACATACATACATACACGAGCTTCTCTGGACGCATCACTTCTATCAACCTGCATATTTATCCGTTTCCATTCCTCATGGCTTTTTTTTTCACATCATAGTAATAGAGGGTAGAACAGAACATACAAAAAAGAGTTCGAGTCATGACACATACGCCGACGATACTGTTATCCTGTCAGCGCGCATAAGCCCATGGAAGAGAGTGTGTGAAGTGGAGTGGAGTGGAGAAATACAGCATTCAAGCAATACAGCCAAGCACTGACGGGGAGACATGAGGGACCATTGCACGAGGCGAGAGAGCATAAGAGGCATGACGATGCGCGGCACAAACAAACAAACAAAAAACGAAACTCTATGGTGGGGGCAGGGGCGTGGTCGACGACGGTTCCCAGCCATCCTTCCCATTCCGCTCCGCGCGGTACCCGACGGCCATCGCTTTCCGGCTCGAGGGCGCGGGCGAGAGCGACGGCGCGCGCTTGTTGTTGGATTGGGACTGGCTCAACGCGCCGGACGCACCGTACGGCAGGCCCTGCCGCGGCGAGGTGCGGGTCGTCTCGGGGGACATGAGGATGGCGAGCGACGGCGACAAGGTCTGGATCGGCCGCGACGAGGGGCCCGCGTGCGAGGACGACGACGAGGACAGGTCCGCCACGGGCGTCCTGGAGAGCGTGCGCCGCTTAGCCGGTTCGAACCGCGTGGGGCTCTCGTCCGCCGAGTCGATCGAGGCGTCGTCGTCGAATCGGCGCTTGCGGTTCAGATGCGTCGAGGGCGGGGGCGTGTGCGGAACGCGCCCCAGCGTGTCGGATGCCGTGGACGGACCTGCGACGGGGACCGTTGTCGGACCGGCCCATTTACTGGCCCACGGCGGCGGAGGCGGCATCTGGTGACCGGGTACTGGTGTTGAACGCGCTGCGTCGTACACAGGAACGGGGACTGGCGGTGGCGGCGCCGGCGGCGGGAGTGGCAGGGGCCCGTGCGGGGTGCGCGAACTGTGCGAGAACCCGTTGGTCTGGGCAGGAGTGGTAGGTGACGACGTGCTGGGATGAGACGGGGTGCCGTTGGCAGGGACGCTGTCCGGCTGCCCGGCTGTGAAGCGGATGAGCTCGACGAACAGGGTCTGAGTGTACGGCGGACGGAGCGTCTTGTAAATGATATCCTTGCTGAACATGTCCAGCATTTTCGCAGTATCGACGTACGTCTCCATATCGGGCGTGTCTGCGACCGTCCTCGTCAGCCAACGTTTCACAGCTGTCCAAAACAACACTCACTGATATCTTTCACCCGCAACTCCGCATACTCGTACCGCCTATTTTTGCGCAGGCAGCACAAGGGACAGATGAACCTGTTCTCTGCGTAAGGCGCAAAGTCGATCGGGAAGAAGACGCATCCGCCGTGATACACCTTGCTGCAAAGCTCGCACGTCACCGTCGGATAATTGAGCAAATACGGCGTGCGGCCACGACAGATGCACCGCGTGCCGTCCAGCCAGTCCTGGTCGATGTCCTGGCCAAACTGGAACTTCGGCCTACGCCGCTTCTTAGTGCGCACCGCCTGCGGCTGCCCCGCCACGATGCGGTGCAGGCCCGCTAGATCGAGCCCAAACGAGACCTCCGGGTTGGGCGACACCGCAAACTGGATCTTGAACAGCTTGCGCATAAAGTGCCGCACCTGCGAGATGTACTCCCGCCGCTGGTTCCCGGGCTGCGACGCGAACGAGAGGAACTGCCCGATCACGGCCGCGAGCCGGTCGACGCGGTGCACGATGACTTCCAGCTGTTTCCAGTCCTCCGAGTAGTTCTTGGTGATCTCCGGCGCGTACATGAGGATCGTGGGCATGTAGTAAAAGTGCCAGCTGCGCTCCTTGTGGATCGAGCCGTTCCAATGATGGTGGTCGCAGAACGGGCACGAGCCCCCGCTGCGCGCGCATTGGCCGTGGAAGCGCGCATAGCAGTGATCACACTGCACGGCGTCAGAGACGGTCCCGGGCGCGGGGGGCCGGACGGCGTCGTTACAAATGCAGGTGAAGAACTCGTCGTCGGGGGGATGGTCGTCCTCAGGCTTGGTGCTCTCCATGACGTCGTCAAACAGCTGCTTCCCGTGCGCCTCGCGGTGGTCCGCGCAGTACCATGGCAGGCTCTCGATCCACCGATAATGCTGCGTCAGCTGCTGGTCCAGCTTCTCGAACTTGGGCAGCGAGAAGATGTCGAGGTGCTGCTTCGCGTAGTCGACCCACTTGAGCATGATCACGAAGATGTCCTCGTCCTCCTGGTGCTCATACGTGTTCTTCAGCACCTGGTCGCAACGCGACTCCAAGTCCAGCGCAAAGTCCGTCATGCGCTTCAGCTCCCGCACGGCGGGGATGCTAAAGTCCTTCTCCGCGCGCGTGACCAGTCGCAGGACGTCCTGCACTCGAGGCTTCGCGGCTCCAGGCTCGGGGACGAGCCACGTCTGCGCCTGCTTTTCGAACTCCTTCGCCTTCAGCCGCGCCGTACCGATGCGGTCCAGGATGGTCGGGTCGATCGGGACCGTCGCGTCCATGTCCCCGAACTCGTCCAGCTCCTCGATGGTCTTGTATGGCTGCGACAGCACATGCCTGGCACGCTCGTCCCAGGTCTGCCCCGCGCGCTGGCGGGCCTCGAGCTTCTTCAGATGCTTGTTGTCGAGCGGGAGATCGCACGCGCGCGCGCGGACCAAGTACTGCGAAGCCTCTTCCAGAGTCATGACCGTGTCGTCCACGTCGTGCTCGAGCTCGTCCAGCAGCTGCTCGCGGGCGACCAGCTTGTCCAGGTCTGTCAGTTCGTCAAGGTAGACGTTGTTCGACGACCCCTCCATCAGTAAGCGCTGGCACTCTTGCAGATGCACGCTGCGCTCTTCCTCGGTCGGGCTCGCCGCCAGTAGCGTGCGCGCGCGCTCTTTCATCTCTTCCGCCTTGGCCGCACGTTCCTTGAGCACTCCGATCTCGGGACAATCGAACCCGAGGTCCTCCACCTCCTTCAACATCTCGTACAGCTCGTCGAGGCCCCTGTCCGGCCTCTCGCCGGGGTCGTCCAGGCCCTGGAGCGACGACGCCGAACCCTCCCCGCGCACCATCCGCAGCCGCGCGCGCTTCGACCGCTTCCGGCTCTGCTTGCGCACGATGAACCCGTTCGCGGCGTCGAGCCACTCGTTCGCGCGATTCACACACTTGCGCATGTCGTGCAGCTCCGAGAGGCTGTACCCGATCCTGTCGCCCTCAGCCAGGAGCGCACGGAGCGCGCGCAGCGGCGGCCTCGCGCTCTCCTTGAGCACCTTGTCGAACTTGGCCTGCCAGTTCCCCGGGATCGCCGCGCGCTCCGCGACCGCCGCCTGCGTCTCGAGGAGCTGGGTGTCGGAAAAGCGCGTGCGCAGGACGCGCCGCTTCATCGCACACGAGCATAGCATCCCCGCGTGCTCCACACACACGATGCTCTTGTTGCATGCGCAGGTGACCTGCGAGAGGTAGCAGAACACATTACAGACCTTGCACTGGTACTGCTCTTCGATCTGGTCCGCTTCGATGAGGGATTCGCCCATGTTGAGCGCCCGCGCCTTGCGCCGGTCCTCCATCTCGCGATCCGTCATCTCTTTCAGGCTGTCGTTCAGCCTTGACGTGCGCATCAACACCGAGGGCTCCAAGACTGAACAGCAAGATGAAACGCACCAGATAGCAGTGGCGATAGATTGGGACTGCTGCGTTATCGTGACGAGGAGCTCGTCGTGAGAGAACACAGGCAGCTTGCGATGTTCCCTGTACCGCTGAACGCACTGACGGCCGTAAGGCAACCAGTCCGGAAGCGCGAAGTTCACCGCCTCATTGAAGTTCAACTGTGCTCCAACAAACAACAGACCCGAATCGAGGCAATCAGCGCCGATCCTCATAACCGCAGCGACCCAAAAAGAACGATAATAATAAAACAGCGGACTCACGCCGTGATTGAAGCCAGCATGGTACGCCTTGGGATAGGTAATGACGAATTCGCCCGCGCGCTGATTGCACGCGTACACGCGCACGCCCGCGTCCGTGAGACGCTTCGGGTTCATGAGCGTCACGAGCTGGAACAGCAGGTCGGGCTGCGCTTCGAACAGGTCCGGCGCCTCGCGCCTGATCGCGGCTTCGAATTTCTCCGCGTCTTCTCCCGGGATGCCGTACCAAGTCTTCGTCTCGCCCCAGTGCACTGTGCGCGCAAGCGCGGTCGTCAGCATCCCGTCAACGTCACAGGTCGAATATGACGAAAAGAACGCAAGAGGCGATTGTAATAGTAAAAAGAAATAAAGGCGGCTCACTGTAATTGATGCTGTAAGTGTAGTGGTCCTATTCGCGGCAGCGTGAGAAAGTCACGGAAGTAGAGAGGAAGCGCGGAAACGGTACCTCGTTGTGCCAGCAGAAGGTGGAGAAGACCATCCCGACGTACGTCCAGGGAACCGTCATGCCAGATATATCCGACTTGATGTACCGCAGAAGCGAGTCCGACAGAATCGAGATGTTGTTCAAGTTCCACGGATCCTTCGAATACGGATCCAGCGGGTGCGTTTCGAGCGTCGGCATCGCGCTGTTGGGGGCACCGATCAGCACGCGTGCCATTCGACGGCGAAACCAGAAAAAAATGCAACTCCGAACGAGCCGACTCACCTCCCGTGCGTCGTCGAGTGCACGTCCGCGCCGTACTCGATCTCGACCGTGTCCGTCGGCGACTCGACGAGCCTCCAAAACTCGTTCTCCACGTCATGTTCCGACACGCTCACGCCGCCGAGCCGGCTCGTCGTCGGGTCCTTCTCGTCCGGCCTCTGCGCCGGCGGATGGTCCTCGAACCAGCGCTTCCGGAACTCGCGGTCGCGCGCCTGGAAGCTCGACAGCGAGTGCTCCTCGCCCTCGTCGAACCCAAAATCGCCGCCGGTCCCGAACAGGCACGTGTGGCAAAACCATTGTCCCTTGGGCACGCTCGCGAGCGGCGGGTCGAGGCAAAACATGTGAAAGCCTGCGAGCGTTGCCATCCCGGCCGTTAGGTCTCGAACGGGGGCGCGGTCCCGATCACGATGGGCACTCACCACAGTCGCAGCCGTCGCAGAGGAGCATCTCCTCGCCGCGGTCGTTCTTGTGGCAGATTTCACAGGGTTGCTGGACGTGGGCATGGGCCCGTGCCGCCAATAGTTAGAAATTAGTTTACGACAAAGGCAGAAAGAGTCAAGATCACCTCCGACGAGTCGTCCTCTGCCGATTTTTTGCCCTTGCCTGTAGCTGCGTCGCAGTCCATCAGAACATGCACACGCGGATATCACACGGAGAAAGGGGTACGCACGCGATGCCTGCTCCCTCTTGGCGGCCGCGTAGTCGTTGTCGTCGGGTGGCTCTGACAGCGGGCTAGAGGACTCGGTGAGCGGGCTGGACGGCGGGCTCTCCGCTGCCGACACGGCTCTCGGCCGCCCGCGCATGGGCGTGGCCTGCTGCTGGCCCCCCGACGCCGACGCCGAGCGCGTGCCTGCAGCCGGGGTCGCCGACGTTGCAGCCTGCTTGCTCACCATCTGCGTGTTCACGTGCGTACGCAGTTGGGGGTCGCGCGCGGCTATCGTGAGCGAGGCGAGGGCGGGCGACGCGCGCACGCGCTCGCAAAACTCTTCGTACGGGTGGATGACGCGGATGTATGACCACCGCATCTGTGTTGAAAGGCCGGGCACGCCGCCGTACCCGAGCAGGCGGCCCAGATCGGCCCACTTCCTCGCCTTGTTCACCTGGGATGACGGAAGCGAAGCGGGGCGTTAGACGGGCCGCAAAGTTGGTTTCAGACGATGCGAGCAGAAGAATCAGAAGCCGGCATACCTCGTTGAAGCCGCCGAGGGCATGTACCTCCTTGCGCAGACGCCACACGTCGAGGGGCTTGTTGTTGATGGTCGGGACGGCGACCCGGGTGTTCCCTTGCTGCTGATGGAAGCGGTAGAGCTGCTCCAAGTAATTCATCTTTGCACGAGAAGAGGCCTCGATGTTGTTGAGGCGCTGCAGGCGGGTCGTGAAGCGGAAGTTCTGACGGGTCCAAGCGATGATGTCAGTCCAGTCCCAAAAAATGACGATCAGTGATCTGAGAATGAAAAACAGTGTTCGTGGCCCATGCGTGGCCCAAAGCGACGGTGGGAAACCCGAGCAAGGTCTCTGTTTCATTTTTTCCACCTCCCGCTGGCCTGCGGCGGCTGGCTTACTAATCAGAGATCAGACGGCGAAACGCCGCGAGCACTCTCGGTGTCGTAAAAAAGGCGCACAACAATAGGCCGTGGCGTACAAGGCTTGGGGCTCACCTCGGTATCGGTGACAAAAGGCATCTTCCAGCCGGGCGGGGGCACGACCTTGCACATCCCGTACTCCTTCGCCTGCTCCGAAATCTTCCTGACGTACGCCATGGGATCGCGAAAGTCCTCCTGGGTGGGATAGTACGTGGGGCAGTCCTCGAGGCCGAACGGGCGCGGGGTCGGGGTCGGAGGGACGTCGCGCGGGCTGGAGGTGCGTACGCCGGCGAAGTCGAGGGCGGGGGCGACGGGGATGGGCGCGGGGTCGGGGCACGGGTGGCCCTGAGCGGGTGCGGCATCGGGGTCGGTGTCGTCGGGCTCCTCGCTGGATTGGGCGTGGGTCTGGAGTGCGGCGAGGGCGTCTGTCTTTGACTTGCGGGGTGCGCGGCGGGACGTCTGCGGGGTTGTGGACGCCGGCGCGGGTGTCTGTGTGTGATTCGCGGGTGCTGCGGACGTGGAGGGGACGGCGGAGGCGGGGGTGGGGCCGGTGGCTGTGGCAGGCGGGTCGGGGCGGGAGATCGGCTTTGCGCCTTGGACGGGGATGGAGAGGCAGGAGGTGAATGTCGGGGTCGGCTTGTTGAGGGTGCTCGGGGGCAGCGGGAGGGCATCGGGGTCTGGGAGAGCTCTGGGGAGGAGCGTGGACGGGCCGCCAGAGGAGCGTGTGGGGCTGTGGACGGCTCCCCTGGGCGATTTGGCGTTGCGGGCGGGGGTGGTGGTGGTGCGCGGGGTGCGCACCGAGGGAGATTTGGGCATGCGAGACGACCGAGATAATTTGCAAGCGAGGTCGGGGTGGAGGGGGTGGACTTGGGACGAAGGACGAGTGGGATGGGGAGCGAAGGCAAGGAGGAGTTGTTATGGAGGAGGACGAGAGGAAGGCAGAGCGGGCCTTCAATTTGGCCACACCCACGAGTCGGCCCTTCGACGTGAGACTTCTCCCTCCCTCCCCCAGGTTCGCACCGCAACCGCCCCTCCCTCCCTCCTGTCCGCATTAAAACACCCTCATGCCCCCCGCCGCATGCCGCGACACACGCCCCGAGTGCCCGCCGATTTTTGCGAGCTGCGGGAGCACAGCGATCTGCCAGATGGGGTGGGGCCACGGTGCAGCCACCCACGGCCCAGACGGGAATGCCGCTGGTGCGATCGAAGCCGCGTCTTGCCGGTCAGCGAACCGTTCCTTGCTGTGGCCGCTGGCGCCCGCCACGCAGCCCCGCGCCACGCAGCCCCGCGCCCTCGCCCTCTCCAGCCCCCGAATCCCCTTCCTCCGCAACTCCGCGCCCCGCACGGACCCCCACTCGCCACCCTGCGCTGGACGCCCCCTTCTTGTTTTTCCCGTCTTGATCTCCATTGTTGGATTCATTATGATCCCATCACACGCTGTCTCACCCCGGACCACCCCGCCGGTGCCCTACCTCACTCTGCACTCCATTTACGTCCCGTCCCACCCCCAAGCGCCCAGTCCAGCGTCCACGCCGTCCACTTTTTTTTTGTTCTACTTACCTCTGGAACAATACGACAGACCCGTCCAGCGGTCTCATCTTGAACAAACAATGTCATTTTCAGTCGCCCTGTGCCATCACCCCATCAACGCTGCTTCCCGGCCCTGCCATCTCCGTCATCACTCCCTGCGATCCGCAAGTCCGTTTCTCACATCTCAACTCTCACGCACGCAAGAAAAAGATCATTAGGAGATTGGTTTCATTCATGTCGACAAACTACTTCAACCCTCCAAGGAGCGACCCCCAAAACAGGGGGTCAAATCGTCGAATCAAGGGACAGAAAAAGGATCGGACGTAATCTTCGCGAATCAGGGGCAACAGAAAAAGAATGGAATAAACGAGGTAAAAAAAAATGGACAATGCGGATCGGGATGGGAGGAGGTGGAGACAGGCAATGGGGGAACGGTGGATGCAAGCGATGCAGACAAATAAGAAAGCAATGCCATGTAACCTTGCCGTCGTCGAGCGTGCTCGACGCACACGACTCTGGACGACATCGACACAAAATGGGAGCTACCACGATATTTACTCGTCGGCCGCGTCGCCAGCGTCATCCTTCTCCGAAGGCTTGTCGGCTGCATAAACGTGAGCATACATCCCACCCACAGGCAGAGCCGTTCAACGCACCAGAGTCCTGCATGTCCGATGTCCAGAGCGTCAGGTTGTCCCGGAGAAGTTGCATGATGAGGGTCGAGTCCTTGTAGCTCTCTTCTGAGAGCGTGTCGAGCTCGGCAATGGCGTCGTCAAACGCCTGCTTGGCGAGGTGGCACGCGCGGTCGGGGCTGTTGAGGATCTCGTAGTAGAAGACGGAGAAGTTCAATGCGAGCCCGAGGCGGATAGGGTGCGTCGGTGGGAGCTCGGTGACCGCCACGTCAGAAGCCGACTTGTAAGCCTCAAGCGACTTGTCGGCGCTGTCCTTCCGCTTGTCGCCAAGGGCAAACTCGGCGAGGTAGCGGTGGTAGTCACCCATCCTGCGCAAAGGATGGCGGCGTCAACACGATGCGCAAACAGAGAGTAAAAACGGCACTCACATCTTGTGGTAGAAGACCTTCGACTCGCCGGAGGCAGCCGAGGGGATGAGGTGCTTGTCAAGGACGTCGAGGATGTCCTCGCAGATCTTCGCGAGCTCGCTCTCGATCTTCTCTCTGTAGCCCTTGATCATCGATACCTGCGCCTCGTTGCCCTTTGACTCCTCCTTCTGCTCGATGGAGGAGACGATCCGCCATGACGCGCGGCGGGCGCCGATGACGTTCTTGTACGCCACGGACAGGAGATTGCGCTCCTCGACTGTGAGCTCCTGGTCGGACGAAGCGACACGCTTCATGTTCTCGACCATCTCTGGTTTGCGGAAATGGTGGGCGTTAGAGGGCACACGAGCGGCCGATAAGAGAGGACAACGGACCTTCGTACCGCTCGGCCTGCTCAGCGAGCTTTGCGAGGTAGACGGAATCTTCACGGGACTCAGGCATCTGTCGCCAACAAACAAGGGCGTGTGAGTGACGCGATCGGGGACGCGTGGGGAACGCGCTGATACTGACTGTAGATGACGGAAAGGGGTTGGCTGTGAGGGGTGGGTGACTGGAGGAAGAGGTGAGTGACGACGACGACGAGGACGGGGAAAGCACGCACGTTGTGTTTGAACAGGATGGTCGAGGGAGAGATGATGGTGGTTGGTTCGAAGGCGAGGCGGATTAAAACGGGGGGGCTGGGCAGAGGGTTTCTGGGTAGAGGGTTTGGGGCCAAGGGTTTCCCACACCCCGCTACCCATCAATCCTTTCCCACGCTCCATCTTCGGCCATCGCGCCACACTCGACGCAGAGTGGCTCAAGTGCTTCCTTTCGCTCCTTCTCCCCTTCAGGCCTGCGTCGAGGCTATTGGGACACAGGTGCCGGACCCGTGGCCGAAGCTGCGCGTTGAGATCATCAATAGGTTAATAAGATGCAATCGATTTGTTCCTCTCTGGCTCATTGCCTTGTTATATCCGCATCCTGGCGCCTTCGCTTTCGGAGACGCCGTTGTTTCTCAATCGTCTCCACTTGGATCATGGCGCACTTGATTGCACCGCACCCGTGTGTTTATATGCACAGTGGGCGTCAATAGCGCTATCCTCATCCTGTATTGTGGTGAATGTAGTTGTATGCTATCGACATACGGTGACCCTCGCTCTTCAAAGCTGCATGGCGAGGAACAACCGCTTTCGTGCACCTTTTCGCCACTGAACAGCATGGTACATCGTCAAAATCGCCGCATTTCAAAGTCCAATTCATCCCAAATTGTTCTCGTACTCACGGAAATTAAGCATGCACATATACGCTCGTGTCATAATGCATGAAATTCGTGGCAACTGGCAAATTGAGTGCGATGTGGGTTCCGAGTCCATGATGCATAAACGGGAATCGATTCCCACGAATTTGTTACAAACTCGTTACCGACCCCGCTTCGTCCGTTCCATCATCTCGAATTGAATGCTTGTGAGTAGTTTGTTCCAAGGAGACAGCCCCGCAGCATACCAGGGTAACATCGCGTGATACTGAAACTTTAATACTCCAGGCATGAGCAGATTTGACTATGCGACCGAACAAAATGCCACAGAGTGCAGAACTGAAAGACGTCTTGGAAGCAGGAGCCCTGCTGATCTATTCTGAGCGATCGTCCCCCACGCCAGCGGCGAAAATCGAGGACGTGTTGAGCTCCCGAATCTCGCAGTACCGCTCTCGCCTCGGGCTCCCCGAGCGAGAAGGCGCTCTCCGCTCGCTCGAAGACATCCAACTTGAAACGGCGCAAGAAGCCCTCTCCGTCGTCGAGCGCGTCCAACAGATCCTCGATGCGGATGCCCGGCTCGACACCCAGGCGCCGTCAACCTCTACGCACAGACGATACAAGGAAGATACACCGGGAGAGGTCCCCGTCATCGGGACGCGCGACATCTCACAGCTGCGCACCCTCCTCTCTATCGCGTTCAAATGGGGCCTCGAGCCTATCCTCGAGCGCGTCCAGTCCGCGTGGCCGAGCAAGCCCTCCGCGCGTGCATACAGGGGGCCGCGGATCGTCAACCTTTCGAACACGCAAGAGGACCACGCGCGCCTAGCGATGATGACGAAGCGCCTGTTGGGCCTTCTGTTTCCGCGCGGGGTGCACGGGGAGCTGCCGCAGACGCTCATCACGTCGACGCTGCTAGGAAGACACGTCACGGGCACTTTGAGACTGGGGATCGCGCTGGGCTGGGTGCCCAAGTCACTGGCGTCTGTGGGGACGCCTGTCATCGACGAGCTCAGGCCTCTTATAATGCGGCTGTTGTCTATGTAGGCAATATCTGGCCTGGAGTGACGGCGGATTTAAATCTCTCATATCGATGCTAGACTCCCGCCATCCCAGACCATCGCGTCTCTAGGCATAATTCTATCAAGTCCGACATCACTCGCGCCACACGTCCAAAAAGCTTGCGCGTCGCTTCTAAGTCGGCAACTCCTTCGTCCGGACGGGGTTCGCGGCCTCTGTGCTGCGGTATTTGGCGAAGGCGAGTCAGCAGAAGATAATGCCCCCTTGGAAAAGCTCGAGCACATCGCGCGCGTCCTCAGCGCCGTCCCTTCCACTGTCAAGCCAGAGGTTCGTGTTAGGTTTCTCGACGAACTTTGGTTTGGATTAAGTGTCGGTTTAGGAATATTACGAGACGATTGTCCCACGTGTTCTTACTCTGATGTCTTCCGAGCCAAACATCCCGCCCGCCTACAAACGTGCAGCGGCCTTCTCTCTTTCGCGCATGGTCCTCACGGACGCGGCCTCACCCAACCCTACCATCGCATCCCGAGTCTTATTACCTATCTTACACGGACCATTTTTGAAGCTCACCCCTGACCTGTTCTCAGAGCCCAACTCACCTGCTATAACGCCCATCTCATGTCTGCAGCTCATACAGACCTTCCTGACGAACACGGATCCTTCTCCAACCCTGATCTCCATGCTGATCTCGCCCATAGCCCCGTCTCTGTACTCCCTTCTGAGCACGCTAGAACGTACGAAAACGGCAGACCCCGCACTCAGGGAAGCCGTTCGAGGGCTTCTAGTCACATGGGGCCGCATCATCGAGGCGCAAGAGGGTGTGGCGATCCTGTGGGCGTGCGTGGAAGATCAAGGCGGGCAATGGTCTGTCGACATCGCGGGAGAGCTGAAGAAAGTCGAGAAGTAGGTTACCACGCCACATCCTTGAGCTATTAGGTGATCTGAACATTCATAGACTGGAAGAAGTTTCACCCATCGCACTCTTTACTCCAGAAGATCTGAGACGCGCAGAGGAGAACGGAGAACTAGATCCTGACGCGAATCTCCTCGACCTGCGCCCAGACCCTGCTCACTTTGTACGGTATATCAAGTCCCTGGATCGAGTAGATCTCTCGTCCGAATTCTTTGTGCGGCTCCTGGTAGCCTATCGCGAGATCAAGGCGGAGCGAGACGGGGACCCGATGCGGTATGAGCTCGATTTCAGTGTGTATGCGCGGATGGCTGATTTCCTCCCTAGGACACTGCTGTACTTGCAGCTAATCCTGCAGATCCAGACTCACATGTCGTCAGAAGGATACGCGTCTGGAAATATATTCAGCAAACCGGAACATATCTTGTCGTTCGTCAAGCACGCCCTTGATGCTGGGACAGCTGCGCCTCCTCAGCCAAGTCATTCGCGTTCAGTGAAGAAACTGGGTCTGACGATGGACGATCTCAGGATTGTTGATGAAGATGAGGTGGACGATTTTGGAGATGGTGGAGATAGCGACGACGAGACGCCTGGGTTGGAAGGGGTACCACCAGACGAGGAGATGACTGCCACTGCAATGAATCTTTTACTCTCTATACTCGAAGGTACGCTGTGCCAGCCCAACTCACTAGAATTATCACCGGTCTCACACGTTCACGAAAGCCAATCCCGACCTTTCCGCGAGCACTTCACCCATCTTGGCAGACATCCTAGTCCACGTCGAAGAGCTCTCAAAACATCCTTCGGAGGCTCTCCGTCCGCTCGCCCGCGAAGCGCGGATGGTGTTGACGGCCAGACTGGCGTCCACTTCAACGGCTTCGCCTTCCAAGCAACGATCAAAATCAGACGATTCAGTCCAAAATACGCAAGAGACGTACCAAAAAGCGCTGAAGCTCCTGCAAGACCCCATTCTCCCCGTCCGCGCGCACGGTCTGCTCCTTCTGCGTCAACTCGTGGCCCCTGCCCGCACGTCATCCATTCGACACAAACCCTCTGCAGATATCCTCCCACTCGTTCCCGCCATCCTAGATATCTTCCTGCAGTCCGTTCAGGATGACGACTCGTACGTCTTCCTGAATGCCGTCCAAGGACTAGCCGCGCTCGTGGACGGCTTTGGCTCGGAGGTCCTCCGCTCTCTCGTGCGCGTGTACACAGAGGGCCTCCAAGCAACCAGCGCAAGCGCCAGCATGTTGACACAAGCAGAAGTGGACACCAGGCTACGTGTGGGAGAGGCGCTCGGTCAAGTGATCAGAAAGTGTGGCGACGCCCTACCCATCTATGGTCCGTTCCTCCTATACCTCGCCGTATTTCTCAGTCTCCATAGTCATCCTTCTTTTTTTCTCTTCCAGCGGATGCCTTGATCCCACCCCTGTTCGCGGCCGTGAGAGCGTCTCACCTCCCCACCGTGCTGCGCGCGTCTTCTCTGTCCCTTTTGGCACAGTGCGCTGAAACGTGCGACCTCGCCCTCATGCCGTACGGCGCGGACCTGGCGGAAGCAATGCTGGACTTGTTGCAGCTCGAAAGCGTGCGAGCAGCGCCGAACGCGCGCGCCCCACCACGCGCGCGGGAGGCAGACACGGAAACGCAAGGATCAGCGATAAACGATCCTCGGCCCGTCCCAAATGAATCCTTGGACAGCCGCCCCTCCTCCCGCAACTCCAAGTATCCCCCTTTGCGCCGTGCCGCGCTGCATTTTCTCGCGCTGCTGGCTCGCGCTTACACGATCCACATCTTCGACGATGATGTGTTGAGTTTCAGTCCAGGATCAGAGTTCCCTGTGAGCCGAGCCAAGGGAACGCTCGGCTATGTTGCGGTTACGGACGTTGATGATGTAACAAGGGTTATGGCGAGGGAAGTGGGGGAAGCTGTGGTCGATCTCGAGAGAGCTATCGCCGGGGTCTGATGCTCGTCAAACAATCATTTTTAGCTTTCCTTGTACAATCCCGACAGAACCGACTCCGGAATAGAACTCACCGTATCCGTGTACCTGGCTGATGTCATCACGCTCAATTTTGGGTTTTAGTATTCGTTTGATTGTTTGTCGGCTCGGCATCCTCGTTCATTCCAAAAGGTGATACAAGACAAAACAAATAACACGCATAGAGACGCGGTACCGTAATCAATCATATCTGAGAGTCACACGAAGCTAACCTACATTACCAGACTATAAGTACAAGCAAGCCAAATCAGTACCTCATCCCTGTCGTGCAGTAAGTCGGATAAAACAATGGATTTTGCGGATCGAAAAGGTAGTTGATGTCAGTGCTCTGTTCAAACACGTTCACTGGCGGGTTATAGTAGGGATAGGGGGGAAAACACTGGGTTTGCTGCACGTCTATGGACGTCACTGCGTTGGACATCGATGGGTTATAATACGTTGGTGGATCGGGCATGGGCTGGTAGGGCATTTCGCCGCTCGGCATCACTTGGGGAACAGGGTAATTCGCGTCGACAGCTTCGGAAGACCTGGGCTCCGAGGCGCTCCTCGGTGCCTTTGCATGGCGCGCGAGCCTCGATTTTACCTTTTCCTCGAAGACGCCGCCCAATATGTGCGCGATGGTGCGTGCACCCGCGAATGACTCCCCGATCTCGTTGAGGTACCTCACGGCCTGTTGCGTATCCCTCTTGGCCTGGTCAAGCTGCACCTTTGCCAGGCGCTGGCCAGACGTGGCATGCACCGCAGACAAGATAAAGATCGTGCAGGCTGCGGAGACGACCTGGATGAACGTGATTGGGACGTAGCGGAGGGTGTAGGAGTTGCGCCACGTGTCGGCGAGCTTCATGACTTCGTTTGCGGCCTTGTTGCAGCGCTATGAGCTGCGTGAGACTATGCTTGATCAAGGAAGAGAAAAGGCTTCGTACCCGAATGTGATCTATTTCTCTTTCTACGCCGACCTGCTTCTGACGATAAAAGGGCCGATGCAAGATGATGATGAGCCAGTGGTATGTCATGTGTAGCATGAGCTGATGCGGCATCGCTCTGCTGAGTGCCGACGGGGGGATGGAGATCTCCTCCTTCATCTGTGACATCCAGGAGTCCAGCTCGACGCTTCAAGATGGGTATCAGATCGTGGAAGTCGTGGAAGTATGAGCGGGATACGTACTCCATCGAGCTAATGAGAATCTCGTTGGCGTTCTGGCGAACCCCCAGGTGGGAGAAGTTGCTCCTGTACGAGATCAGGTGAATACACGGCCGCGAGAAGCAGACAACGTGACTAACACAATGCTCATGATGCGCCTTGCAATTTGCAACAGCTGGCAGGTCGCATGGAAGATGCGCGATAGATAGTTGGGCTGCGGCGGATTCTCCTTGTTTGGCCAGTTCCACGGCCGCTGGTCGAGATCGCCGTCGACAAATGGAACGGGTATGTTCTGCGACTCTGAGAAGGAGGAGACGCAAAAGTCGCGGCCGACATAGAGGGACCAGGTTGTGTCCTGATATAGAAATATGTTCGGGCATCCCGGACGGCGTCGGGAATTGGGGCCGGCTCACCTGACAGAAAGTGGTCCAGAAAACCCAATTTCGGTCTTGCATCTCTTCCGGAGTAATCTTGCCCGCATCTACCCAGGAAGAGCAGTCTAGACCTACACCAACTATGGACCTGTCAGAGTTGAAACCCCGTCGTCTGAACAGAACACTCACGGGCCTGTGACACCCGGGCGCTGATCCCTGTTTTAGACCGTGAGCGCGGCTGCCGCAAACGGACTCCAGCCTACGCACCGAAATACATGTACCCCAGCGACTGTTCCCCCCGCGAGGAATGGAAGTTGGCAAGGATGGACAAGGCGAGAACGGCGCTCAGGTGCGGTCTCTCGCATTCTTGTTCGAGGGATTCTTTCGCCTTGGCAGCAAACTTGTTCCGCACCTCATCGGCCTTGATCATCGGGTCATCCGAGAACGCCGTCGCCACTGCGATAAGCGAATTGTGCAGCATGGGAGAGTAATGAGCGGTTCTCGATGCTACATTGGAGGGCGATCGGCTCAAGACTTGGTGCATGTCATGGAGGAACAGCTCTGGGACGACTCTCATGCACCAGGACGTGAAGAAACGAAACAGAAGGTCGAGAAGCCTGTGCAGAGCATTACGATGCCGTGCACTTCGACGAAGATGATACCCAACACACCTGTCATGTTCTGTTCGCGAGAGAGTCACGTCCTTGGGCAGATATCGATTCCATTCGATATCGGGCCCTAGACTGCCTGCGATGGACGAGAAGCGGTGCGGGCCCGCCGCGCTGCCTGAATTGTAAAATCGGGACGGCCCCGGCATCACGAACCTGAAGATCGAGGTCGGGCCCCAGAACTGCAGGGTGTCATCGTGAATCTACATTCAGTGTCAGTCTGGAAGGATCCCTCCATTGATACTGGGGACGTACATGAAGATGTTGGGTGGGAGCACACAACTGCTCAACGTCAGAGTCATCACTCTCGGATTTCACAAGCGTTCCGTCAGATTCAGGAGAGCCCGGATCGGCGTAATATTGACTTGTCGAGGGGATCGAATGAGATGAACGACAGCGCTCCAGCTCTGTCTCGAGGAGCACGATCTTGTCTTGGAGATGTTGAACATGTTCTCTGGTGATGTTGACTCCTTTGATGTGTTCGCGACCCCAGCGGCACTAGAACAGGCGAGAGCACGAACGATCGGTTCGGCAGAACATGATGACACCGATGACAAACACGCACATCGATCTTAGCCTCGCGGCACTGTCTGCAAGTGGCGTTGGGGAGCTTGTTATCCTTGCTCTCCCATTCGCACTTGACTTTCCTGCGCAGTGAAGGTGATTAAGTAGCGTCGATGCCATGGGCGGACTTCTTGTGCACACCTAGTTCTGCATCGCACGCAGGCTTGTTTGGCGTATGGGCCGCGTGAGACGACTCTCATTCTCGAGTAAGAGAGATGATCGGAGGTGGACATTGGAAGTGGCGAGTATGGATCCCGCGACTACGAACTATATAGGATGGGACGTGGACTGGTACGGCTGCCTGCCTCGAACCGCGTTGCTGGATACAATGCTGTAAGGCGATCCACCGGAGGCAAATGGTACCTAGTTCATTACTCTGACAGTCGGAATGGAAGAGAGTTCCCGGCAACGGCCGCGCAGGCGCTGGTGAAGACAGACGTGCTCCCCATATGACTGATGACTCTACTGGCCGCCGTGACTCCATGTCGTCCCGAGATCTGTCTCTTATCGATAGGTAGTCACTGATCGCTGATCCGCGGGGTCTGCAACTCTCTGCAAACTCATCCTTGATGAGGGTTTCTGATCCTGAGAGTTTGAGACGCCATTCGCGGACACTGAAATGGAAGCAGCATATTTCTGTTTACAGTGTCGTTTCCAACGTCCATACTCTATCAGGTGCATTATTGCCCGTTGCATCCCATGCCAGACTGCCTGCCACAAGTCCGTATCGCAACTTAGCTTTGACTTACCCTGGCCCATATGACATCCGGCAGTGGCGTTAGACAACGTGCGCCATCTCGCTCGAGCACAGGCTCGCCATCTTGGCGCAAGCCTAGCCTGTATTGGCGTACCAGTACACATTGTGTCAATGGAGGACAAATAAGATACCCCACTGCCTCTGACTAGAACCCCGCCGCGACCCCTGAGAACATTCAAGCTTTCATCGCCGGAGAAAGCATCTGCGGGCAGGACAGCCATTTATATCAGCAAAGATTTCACGAGATCCCAATCTCCGCGCCAGCTCTCACGTACCTGCTTCGTGATTTCGTAAAAACGCCGTTGGCCAGCGAATAGGATCGCGGCCGTCAAGACGCTCTGCAGCAGCTTGCTTCCCGCGCCTTTGTACAGACCCTCGATGCCTTCTTCCCGCACAATAATGCGTAAGCCGTCTATCGCGGAGCGATAGCGCTCTGCGTGCGCGTGGCCTGCCTGCAGACGGGACTTGACCACTCTGATATGCATATCAGCGCCGTTCAATGAATCTGGCGCCTATAGAACGTGGAAGCAGATAGTGGCGCACATATATGGGTACGTCGTGGACGTGGCGACTGTAACCGAAGCACACACATGTTCAGCATACGGGACGGAGTTCTATGATCAGAAAGCGCTTACCGAGTTTGGAGAGAGCGCCCAATATGAAGAAGTCCCAGTCTGACAGTAATGAGCCCGCAGAGGCGCCCTTCTCTGCACGGGCATGGCGCCTTCGCACGAGTAGGTTCTTCAGTTGCTCGAAAACGGTGTATTGAAGCACCGGATTCGCAACCAGAACAAGCGCTGGACCAATCCCACGCCAGAAAACGGCAGGCCCGCCTGTAGAAAGTAGATGGGCTGCGGTCTCAAGCATCCCCAACCTCCTTTGGTCTTTGCCCGGCCCAGGGGTAGGCTGAGGCAACGAGGGAGATGAGTCCATAGTGCGCACAGCTTGAGAGGTTTGTATGACCCAGATCGGATTGCTGATAATTGTTGTCGCGGATCCTGACAGCAATGGATTAGCTATCGGGCACTTCATCGGGGATATATGAATAGAACCTGCGATGAGGCCAGCGATGATCGACTCCACGGTGGAGAGGCCTTTACCCCCCGGTCGGGATTTGACGATGATGCCCTTCGAGCGTTCGTAGAAATAATAGTAGATGCTGCGATTCGCGGAGAGGGCGATCGTGGATGGCTAGTCAGTATCGCACTTCAGGTACATGTTTCCACGACATCCTCGATGGTATGGTTCATCAGACGTCTGCACCATGATTCTCGGCCATATGAAAAGATGCTTCGGAAGAAAGAACGCACCCATTCGTGACTGCGATTCCCAACAGGCTGGAACTGAGCCCACTGTACAAGCCCAAAACACCTTCGCGCTTGATGATATCGATGACGGCTTGATAGGTAGACTAAAACGAAACGGGAAATCCGATGAGCATGCTTACGGACGGATGAAGAGGCGATGAGAAGGACCGCGGCCGACTCCGGCTCCCACATGTTGACGTGAAACCCTTCTGAGCATGAGGATGGACTGGGTCTCGTCAGCAACAGCACTAGGCAGTTCAAACATCTGATTGAGTAGCTCACACCCCTTGGTAGCCATGCATCTTTGATAGTAGAGGCTGGGTAGAAAGTGACAAACTTGCCTTATTCTCCTTCTTTGTTTCCATCGCCGCGCGCGTCGACAAAAATACAAGGGGACTAAAGATTCAGCTCAATAATAGCTCGATCCACGGAAATTCTGCGAAACTTGCTATGTTGCACTCATTGCGACGATGCCTCCACCTGCGCCTGCAAGGGCATGAAACAGCGAGTCGCTGGACATTGAGACGGATTGGAGAGGCGAGTTCAGGCGAGGCCGCGTATGGATACAAGGGCGTCACTGGGACAGGTTCGAGATGTGCTTCAACGAAGGAGAGCGCGACGCGGCGTGAAGCGTTGAGCGCGATGTTTATGGGGAAACGGCGGTGACAGTGCAGTTGCTACTAGACCGGTAAACTCCCCCGCATTTCATGGTATCACATGATAATTAAGTCAGGACATTGACCGGCTACTCAGCGAAGTTGAAGCGAGACGCAGACGTGCTTGAAGGTCACTTCATGCTTGCTGTGGAGGTCGTGACGAAAAGACTTCTCATGAACACCTCTCACGCTTTGTGGGCAGGCTGCTCTCACGTAAATTACGCGCCGCAAACGGTTATGAGAGAAATCTTCAAAATTCCGTAGAAATCCGTGAGTTAAGGTTCGGGTATCATTGTTCTCCTCTCGAGTGCTGACTCCACAGTGTTATAGTATGCAACTTAGCAAAGAGCTTGCAAGATCTTGGCGCCGCCAAGATCATCTACCAGCCATTTTCGAGGGTCTTTCAGATACGGGGATCCTATACGCAGAGCGAGGTTGGCAGCGGAGACCCCCGGAGACTAGACTGAGGCGTCTATCAAGAAGGGGTTGGCTCGAATGTTCCTCAAAATCCCCAGAAGTCCGGTCTTTCTGAGGATTACGGCGTGTTCCGACGACTTGCGAATCGATCATGACCTGAAGGTTTGAAGGCCTTTGAACGTAACGCTGGTACAGTCGGGAGGGTGTACCTGAGTGACTGATCTGCACGCGCTGAGATCTTCCGCGGTGGTCTAACACTGAAGCTGCGGGTTGCTGTGTGGGCAGACACGGAAATCAGGGAGAGGGGCAGTGCTCGGTACAGAAGCCAACCAGCGGTGCAGGGGCAGATTGTCTCATGTTGCGTCAGACATGTTACGTTACATATTGCAGGTCACAGCCGGTCACAGCCAGTCACAGCCACGACTACCAACCGGCGGCCCGCCGTATCGCGTCGGAGCCGAAAAAAACGAACAGAAACCAGGGAGATATATCATGGATCCGGTCTTCCGATGACAACATTTTCGTTCCGACCATGATGGAGCCCGGTCTATTCTGTGCCTCTCAAGGTCCCTTGTTTCTCACAGCATATCCACGAACGTATGGGGATTGCTCTAATGTGGCTCATGACAACGACAGCAACTTATTCTTGGATCTCTTATGTTCTCGCAACCGCTCCAGACAACGCTTTCTGACCAGCGGTCGAAAATGAATCTTTCACTCGGAAGCTTGTCGCGGGCCTTTCTTACGTGGCTCAATCGAACCAGGAAGACCGGAAGGCTTGCTCATATTTGTCGCGGGCCCCGTTTGTTTTCTTTGCCCAGACCCATTCATCGACCTGTGGGTGCCAAAGTTCCCAAAACCGCAGTTCCGCAGCGGCATCCTTACTGCGCCACCCGCACTGTAAGCGGAGACAGTCTAGTGAGGTAGAACAGATAAGTACTCGCACAGGGTATTGTCGATCAATATTTCACGATCCCCCCCTTCGCTCTCATGGGCTTGACGACGTATCTCCGCCTCCCACAAATAGACACAGATGCCGTACTACCACAAAACTCCTCGTACAAGGTCCCAATTCACCTGAGGTGGCGCTTGTTTTCTGTCATGCGAGCATCAGTCGCGCTCATTCTGACAGCGTCTCTGCTCGGATTTCTATTCCATTCTCAAATAAATCGTCTCAGCATACTCATCCCTGACCCAATTCCAACCATCTCAACTCCTCCAGGCTGGAGATATTATGCAGCGCCCTCCCCTTCCCAGACGCCGTTGCTAAACACATCTACACACTCGCTCATTCCCACCCGCAGTCAACGTCTCATTTCTCTCGAATGCGCCGATCTCTGGATTTCGCGAGGCCTGGTTTGCCCTTCCTTGCGCTCGACACTCTCTTCTGCCCTTGAGCGAGGAGACAACGGCGCCGTAGACGTGCTGTGGACATGGATCAACGGCTCAGATCCTTATCTGACCCCGGTACGCGACGTGGCCTCCGCAGCATACAAGCCTCTCAAATCAACATCAGGCAAGGCGGCCGTCGGAGCGGCGGCGCGCCACTTCCGTGATCACGACGAATTGCGGTTCTCGATGCGAAGCGCGTTCGAGTACCTGCCTTCCGAGCTGGTGCGCAAATATCACCTCTTCACATCCAGCCTTCCTCTAGAGGCGGCGAACATATCGGATTCCGTCAATCAAGGGCGAATGGGGCATATTCCCACCTGGCTGGACTTGAAGGCCCTGGAGAGTCCTCACATCGGCGTCCAGCACCACTGGGAAGCGTATAAAGTGACGGATAAGGTTCTTCAGGAGCAGGGCTTCGAACGCGGTGAAGCAGGGGCGGAGGAATGGCGGCGGGCCGTTCTGCCTTCTTTCAACAGGTCGGGCCCTGCAGCTTATCCATCAGAACTTGTCGCTGATTTCACGTCTCCACAGTCTCGCGATCGAAAGTCAGCTACCGCACGTCGGGGACCTGGAAGACCTCCTTGTTTACCTCAACGACGACTACTACATCACTCGGCAATTGAACGCGGCCGACCTCGAGACCATTTTGTACGGGCCCGTTTTTCGAATTCAACGCGACTGGGGCATCTGGTCCCTGTCTCCAAGTGGGTGGGAGACGTATTCGCAGGACCTAGAAGGCGAGCAACCGACTCTCATGCTGGCGAACCACTTCTTGTCCAAACGCTTCGGGAGCCGGGTTCGCAAGTACATTCGTCACGTCATGCGTACGATGTCGGTCCCCGTGCTGAAAGAGGTCGCAAGTGTGTGGCCGGACGAGTTGGCGTCGACTGGAAGCGTGAAATTCAGAGGACGCGGACCTCAAGTTCACCTGGCCTTCATGCAGATGTGGTACCACATCGAAAAGCATCGCGAAGCATTGTAAGCGGCGCATTCCTTGTGGGGAGTGCGATATAATTAACGATTTCTCAACGATAGACTTCATTCGTTCGTGATGTTGAAGTCCGACGCGGACCAATCTGGCGTGCTGTCACCCTCCGAGCAACTCACACTACTTTCTGACCTTGGCAACATCACGAGGAGCGGTGGCCTACACATTGACGTCCATATGCCATTTCGTGTCAGCGATCCCATTGCACGCATGGAGGAAGCAGGCCTCGTGCCTCCATTGGAGACAGAGTACGAGTGGACTGCCGCTGATGGATACCCCTTGGTGCGACAAAACTCCATGGAATGGCCAGATTATGGCGGGCGATATGGCCATCGTCGCACTTGCTCGATCGTGATTGAGTCCTGTTTCCCACAAGGTTTCGGCGGGGATACCGAGCTCAAAACTGAAGACGTGTTCAAGAAACTAGCGTTTGAAAGCCCGAACTGCGGCGACTGTGCAATCATGGCTTTGTTGAGTCAGAGTGGAGAGGCCGGCTTGGAGGCCTTTCTCCCCAAACCGCGCGAGGGGCGCCTGGAAGGAAGTTGGTGGGAGCAAAACGGGGTCCCAGAGCACTATGAGCTTGTTGGAGGCCAGGGCTCAACGTGGTCCGAAGCGTCGTACGAGCCCTCCGCAGCAGCGAAGAACGACCCTCGTGCATATGCCGTCCGCAACATCCAGCGGTATCAGTACGCGATAGGTGAGCTCGTCGATCGCCTGACCAGCTCTGTTTGTTGACTTTCCGATGATATTCCCAGGGGATACGCCGATGGAATGGTTGCAGGTCAAAGATAACGTCACCGCTGCCCCGAAATTGGAGCCTCTCAAGGATCCAAAGGGCGCATGTGCTCTCCTTGCGATCAACGACGATGTTGCTGAAGATGTCGAAATGGAGCCTACAGATCGCTTATTACGAGATTGGTACGAAGCAAGATGGGGTAGTATACGAGCTTGGTGGGAGCGCAGCGAATGAAGTCTACGACTGTATGCTAGCCATTGTACCTGTCTGTATTCAGAGTGTATCAGCAGTGTAACTTATTGAACTATTTTTGCAACATCGACCTATCTTTAGTGCCTCGATCTATTCTTGATCGTTGAACGTCTATTCTTGAACTGTTGGCCATGAATTTTCAGTCTATTCTTGAATATATAGCTCCCAAGACTGAAACACAAAGAATAGGTGCCTATGCCCATTCATTGGGAGAAACTCTGTGCCGAGCGATATGCAGGCGAACAAGACAGTCTAAACTCCTGCCACGTTCATAATGACCGACCCAGATAGATAAAGATACCGACATCTTAGAGATATGGTCACGGTCAAGAACTTTCAAGATGTGACGAGTCATCTGATAGATGGATGACCGCAGTCACTACAGCGAGCGCTCCATCCATTCGTGCACTGGATTGAGTGGAAGTCAAGTGAATAGATGCATAGAGCGTTCAAAACAGACCCATTCCATACCCTTCTCCGACGCCAGCAAAGAGTTATAAATTCGCGCAGATAATGCTCAGATAAGGACTTCGGCCATTGAAGCTTGACTCTTGACGAATCCCATCAGAATTACCTAGTCTCAAAGGAGTTGGCGTCGCGAACGGAAGTAAAAATAGCAATCAACAATTGAGGATGGAAGGATGCCTGACTATGCCGTCGACGGCTGTCGACATCAATTCGCATGTGATACCAACGAGTGACAGAAGAACGGTAGCATATCGTGTGGTCAACGAGCTTCGTCGAGGGACACAACAAGGTTGCGAATATCTCCTGCTTACGACAAAAACAGTGCTTCGAAACGGACCGCAGACTGGTCACGCAATTTTAGATACTATGGCCGCGTACAGAACAAGGAGTCAATACAGGGTCTTGCATAATTTTTGAGAGAGTCGCGCTAGAAAAAAATGGGTTCCTGAGTGCTTCATTGTGGATATATAAAAAAAGCGCCGGACCCCCCTGCGTGACCCACCTGTGACAATTACTCTCCACTGCTGTCTTTGATAGTGCCAGTCAATAATTAGCTCTCAAATTCAATGATGAATAGGTGTAGACATGGTAAAGTTGAATAAAGTACTACAAAAAGGTGAGCACACTGTGTGCTCAAAGCCATAGCCCTGAGCCATGAGAGCATGACAAGGTTTTGCTCATTATCCCGGCCCGCGGTGCCCAGTTAGGCAAGTCTTGGTTCAGGAACCCGGTTTTTCTCTGATACAGCTCTCTGTAAGATGGCAGAAAGGAGCAGAAAGGTCGGATCAAGATGGCAGAAAGGAGCAGAAAGGTCGGATTAAGATGGCAGAAAGGAGCAGAAAGGTCGGATCAAGTGACTAATATATAATGGAGCCGTCATTCCCCTAGGTTCCCAATATCTGTGATATGAGTAGCACTAAGTGATGAGTAGTACTGAGTACTGATGGAATATTGGGTTAATTTAGGGTGTGCATCTTTTCAGTGAGTTATCTATGTGAGTCATCTAGGAAATAATGATAGCTAGAGCTTCAGTGAAATGTGGAATATTTAGAGAATGCCTACTGCTTTTCTAGCTTAAGGCTTTGGGCTCTAGCTTGCTTTAGGTAAGTTAGGTGCTAGTGAGTACAATTAATTATGCTCATTTAGAGCCAAACTGGGATATGTTGGGGTATGATTGGTGAGGTAACTTGTCTCAAACTGGATGAGATTGTGCCAGATAATAGGCCACAATTGGATCAGAACATAGCCCACTTGCAGTTACTTGCTCTGTCCAATAATATCACAAAGATTTTATCATTAACTACAGTGCTGGACAAGCAAAGTTGACAATTTTGCTAACTCCCCAGGTATAGACCCCCATTAAGAAAGCATTACTGTATACACCCTGGAGCAAGACCTAGGCCAAGAATACCCACCTAGCACTAGACACATAAACAACCAACTCCATTATAACAATTGCCATATCCAGCATGAAGGAATCCATTGGCTCTATAAAGACACCAATACTATCGCCCCACCAAATTATGATAACTGCTCATACTAAAACAGGTGTTATTATTTCACATTTGACAATGAAACAAAAGAGGAAAACCTTTGGAATAAAACAGAGAACTATTGGGACCTCGCACCACAGTACAAAGACTTAGCACCAATAATCCCCGACAACTTGGAGCAAGAGAACTTCTGGAAAACCACCCCTTTGTATTAAGCTCTAATTAGTTCTATTTATGCATAATTAAGAATGATTAGGATTAGACATTTTTAGCTTACCCCCCCTCTAAACCTGTTCTAATTAGACATAATTTTCCTAAATTAGGAATTATTAGGATTGATTATAACTTGAAATTTCGGAAAAATCATAATAAATCAAGCATCACAGTTCTTATAGCCTTCTTACAGAGTCATGTCTATTAAAGCACTAGTTCAATACCTAAACACAGAATATACCTTATAACAAACTTGCCTTCTGCCAGAGTTGAACTAACAACCTCATATATGCAAGCACCTGGGACAGATGCTCTAAGCCACTAAGCCACAAGGTCTAAGAGTGAAGTTGGTAATCTAAATAAGTAGACATAATATAGGCAATCTCAACATCTCTGATTTTATTTAACATTTATCTTTCCTCTATCTTATAGATAAATAGGTCAATAGATACCTAAAAAGTCAGGTCTTTCAGGATTTAGTTTAAACACCAGCTAAGAAGATAATAAACCAATGGAAAATCAATAATACATTTTATATAGGATAAAAATAAATTATGGCACTTATACAATTTGGACTGAGAATGTGTAAAACTATGATTGAATATAATATCCAATAGGACTCTACTAGTATAGACAATGCTACCTGAATTTGCAAATTTGATCAAAAACATGATTATGAATAATCAAGATCCAATAAGAGAGAGGGGTTTTCCAAATAGCCACTAGTGAGGTAGAGGGTGGGGACAAGAGTATATGTATGGCATGCCTATATATAAATAAGCACAAGATTGTTGGAGGTGATCTTAATATGCTTAATGCATATATTTCCTATATGGCAGGCAAATATATCATTCTGGCACCACATACCAATATGACTGTCTTTTCCACAGCCTAATAGCTAGAGGAAAACACCAAGTTTGAGCATCTTCTGTATAACAAGGCAATAAACAATATAAATAGTGCTAAATATTGTATAATTTTTAGTGATGATTGTGTGCTGCACAAGACAGTATTAGCCACTATACTAATAGACAAGGTCTATAAGGCTGCATATAGCATATCCCTAAGTCCAACCCACATGTTGTGTCCTATAATGACCAGTAGCAGGCATTGCTGTGGTATTTCATGCCTTGTGTTACGACTGCTCGTCGGTAACCCCAAGAGTAGGAGGTTCTTCCCTAGGTCACTCGTGGAGGATGTGTGGAACGGTGGTCTCGACCGTACGTGTAGCACAGGAGCCAGACGTGTATTGCGATGTAGCAATGAAAGTAGACAGTATGAAGACTGCCTAAGAACGAAGAGAATAGACTGAAGATCGTCAGCCTATTCTATGGGCCTTTTATACTACTTTGGGAAGTAGGGCGTGAGAATACCGAATATGTATCTGTAGGTATTCTCTAAGTCGTCTCTCTCAATAACGACTACTCTTGTGCTTCTCCGTTGGTCTCCTTCCGGCCAGGAGAGACTAGGAGGTTCATGCCCTGCGTGTGAGTAATTTATAAGGCGGCGCTCCATGCCCGCTAATACAAAGGCCCGTGATACTCGACCAATGATTGATGACCCATTGGGAGTGGATGACCAGGGTTAATATCTGTACCTTGGTGTACGCCTCAACCTGTGAGGCCGCGTGATATTTGTGATGATCGTATCGGAATAGACCGCCGTGTAGGCCCGATAGAACGTGATCATAACAATACCCCCTTTCTACGTCCTATTCGCCTGGTAGGACCACGCCTTGCGTGTCATCGCCGCTCCATATACGATTTGCTTTCTTGATTCAACGATGGTCGCCGGATGCGACTTCCGGGACATGACTTCGTTTTCTGGGAGGAAGACCGACTTACGTCGTTTGATCCTCTAGGAGTTTTCCATCTCCGTTGAGCTGTTTGTTTGTCGAGTCGTGAGGGTATCCAAGCCTCCGCTCTCTAGGATGTTCTTCCTTCACCCGTGGGATTGATTTTGCCGCGGGTAAACCGCATCGCGGTCTTACTTCCAGCCCGCTTCTGGAATAGTATCAAGAAAGGCGTATGAATGCGAGTGGTTGTGGATGTGTAGAAATTCGAGCGTGTGGGTTCTAATTCGTGTCATCAGGTTCTTCTTCTTCCTTCTCCGAGGGCCAAACCTCAGTGTTTCCAGGATAGTCGTCTATCCTCATGATTTGTTGTTCCTCTCGACGACAGTGGATGGCGCCCATGGACAAGTAGGTTGATCGCTTTACGAAGGCTTAGGCCTACTTCTCCAGGCTACCAGTCATGACGCCCCAAGCAGTATCGCTCCCATACGGTGAGCTCATCTCCGGTGAGGTTGCAGCCAAATCCCAAGCAGTATTGTCCCCATACGGTGGACTCATCTCCGGTGAGGCAGTTTACGGCGTCCAGAGTTTGTTTTTCACAAACGTGGGCCTATGGTGGGGAATACCACGTGTAGTGTTGGGTTCGAGGCAAGGATGTGAAGAGAATTAGACTTGAAGGGTGCAGCGAGGAATAAGGAGGAGTCTGACTCCTTTCCCAAGTCTGTCCGTTCGCTTGCACGAGTAGACATCAAGACCACAGCTGATATATTAGTCGGGTTGCGAGATATATCCACGACTGGCAGTTTAAACGTCATGCGGGACGGTCCGTAGTTTATCGTCGTTTCGGACGATCCGTAGTTTAACGTCTTTGCGGACGTCAGTAGTTTTACATCGTTTCAGATGTTCTTCATCATCAACATGGAATATCTGTGGGGAAAGATGTTTCTGCACGCCGGAATTTCCATCGGTTGTGTGCATAGGGCCCTAGACCAGACTTTACCCGCTCCAGATTCCAC